GCGCAAACATATACACATATATATATATATTTCTGATATATACACACGTATATAGTTGAAATTAACGATCGAAGTAGTTCATTGTATTCACATAGGGTTAAACAGTATAGCTGTAAAAAATCATCAAAATCAGAGTCAAAATAACCGTTAAATCATGACTTTTCGTTTATAACCGTCGAAACGTTTGTCCCGTTACTTGATCTCTGAATGTTTTTTTTTCTCATTTTCGACGTATACGATCTCGAAGTATAAACAAACATATTTGACGGCTAGATTACTGAAACTAGTTTCCTAGAATGCGTATTCCATAAAAACAAAATATTCATAAAAATGAATAATTTCTTTATACATTCATTCAGTCAAACATAAGATTATGTGATGTCCTGTACTGTAAATATCTGAAATTGAAGATCGAATTACATCTCTGTATTCATATAGGGTCAAGAACCGCAGCTGTAAAAAAATTTCAAGATCGGAGTTAAAATCACCGTTGAATCGGGACAATTTGTTTAGAACCGTCGAAAAGTTTTGTCCCATTACTCAATCTCTGAATGTTCATTCATTATGATTTTTGACGTATACGATCTTGAACTATGAAAAAAGAAGATTGCCGGTTGGATCATTGAAACTAGTTCAGGAGTTCGGGTTTAGGGCTTAGGGTACAGGTTTTAGGGTTTAGGGTACAAGGGTATGGTTTTGCGCGACGAAATCAACTCTTACTCGTCGCTCAAAAGATCAGCGACGAACTTAAGTACCTTCGTCGCGCAAAATTATTAAAAAAATTCGCTGCCCTTCTCCGCTCCAACACTTAGTTAAATTTTTTTTGGCAAAAGCCAGATTGCGCGACGAAATTAAGCCCCTTCGTCGCGCAAACTTATTAAAAAAATTCGCTGCCCTTTTCCGCTCCAACACTTAGTTAATTTTTTTTTGCAAAAGCCAGATTGCGCGACGAACATAAGTCCCTTCATCGCGCAAAATCATTAAAAAAATTCGCTGCCCTTCTCCGCTCCAACACTTAGTGAAATGTTTTTTGGCAAAAGCCAGATTGCGCGACGTACATAAGTCCCTTCGTCGCGCAAAATTAACAATTGCAGCCCTTTTCTGTTCAACACTTGGCGAAATTTTGTTTGGCAAAAGCTAGAGTGCGCGACGAACTTTCGTCTATTCGTCGCGCAATATCATTGCATTTATCTTCCCCGCGCAAAATCAAATCCCAAAATTTTGGGCGGCCGGACAAATTTGCGCGACGACACTAGTTTTTTGGTCGCGCAAAGTTTATATGTTCACAACTTTGCGCGACGAAATCATGTTTTTAAGTCGCGCAAAGGTCATATTTTTATAATCTTACGCGACAAAAGTTTAGTTTTGCGTCGCGCAAAAGTTATTTTAATGAATTTTCCGAACGGATTTATGTATTCGTCGCGCAAAGTCGAATAAGTTTCCTGAAAATCGCAATCTTCTCCTTCTTCCCCAATTTCTCAAACGGAACCCTAAACCTCCCTTTCTCTCCGCCGTGACCTCAGCCCCTACTCCGCCCCAATTCAGACCCTGCCGCCACCACTGTCGAACCCAGGAGCTTCTCCGCCGTCGCCGTCCATCCTGCCGCCGTGATTTCCTCCGTTTAGGCCGAATCTTCGCCGTCGTTGTTCTCTCTCCTCCGAGCACCAAATCCGGCAATTGAGGTATGCTTTCTGGGCTATTTTTCATGCTCTAGCTGATGGTTGTGTAGGATTTGATTGATTGTGTGCATAGGGTAGTGAATTTGAAACCCTAGGTTTCGGCCGGTTTTGAAATTGAAATTCCGGCCACTTCCGTCCGTTTTTCGGGGTAGGTCCGAGAACAAAAATGCCTCCAATTGATGTTTTCAACCTAGGGTAGGAACCTTGGCCCTTAATTTTTAGGATTTCCCGGTGATTGTTATCGCTTAGGGCACCCACGCGCTGCCGGCGCGTGTGGTGGCGCGTGGGGTACTGTGGCATAGGGCATTTTGTCCCAGTGCAAACATTTCGTTGTCACGAGCGCGTAGGTGTGCTCGGATTGGAATTTGGTTATCGTTTGAGTCTCGAACGGTTCGAACCTATTGTGCGATTTTAGGGTTTGATATGTTCGGACCGTTGGATCGAGCTGAAACTCACGTATGTGGTACCATGTATTTATAGGATCGTTTAGGATTCGACGGATCGTGGATCGGAGTCCCGGATACTCCGAAATCGCAAACCCTAGGTCAAACTATGATTTTAATTAGTTAGTTCAATTTTTTAATGACATTGTATGTGCTACATTGGATTAATGAAATTGTGCAGATGTCAGACTTGATTAGACGTCGTAGGGCGGTTGTCGGTATGTTTCCTATCTTTTAATTATTTTTCTTCCAAACTTTATATATTTCTATTACTTAATATATGTAATCAATTTATTGCAGATGAACTACGACTTAGAGGACATCAACGAGGAGACCTTGGCGTACGTCAACAGACTCTTCGGTGAGAGGTACAAGCAGTGGAAGAGCGACTTGCACCACCATTTTCAGGCGTTTGATGATCCGCAAGTTACTCTTCAGGAGGGTTGCCCGAAGGAGCTTGAGGGGCAGGAGGATAGTTGGGCGTGGCTCTGCGCTCATTTTCAGGCGCCCGATTATGTGGTATTATTTTAATAATATTTGTTTAATGTTTATTTTATTTTTTAATTATTACGTTTTATTTTTTGTATAATAGAATAAAGCCCAAGTGAATAAGGGCAATAAGAAGAAGAAGACTCTTCTTCACCATTTCGGCTCCAGGCCCTTCTCATATAGGATGGATGCACGGCGTCGGGTAAGAATAATATAATTTATATTTAATTTTTAATACGTCATTATTATTAATTTCTTTTGTTCATACTAATATTTTCCTTCTCTTGTTCAATTAAGGGGGGGTCAAAATTCCCAGAGATCGACGTCTTTGGTGACGTTTATGTTCGACCTGGGAATGAGTTGGCCGAGTCCCTTCATGTAAGTATTATGTATTTTTAATTCTTATGTTACACTTTCAATTTATATGCATTTTTGAATTTATATTTTATGTAATGTTAAACAGACGACGATGGTGGAGAGGAGCCAGTTGGTTCTTCAAGAGTCCGCCTCCCAACTTCCTCCCGAGACTCCGATCGAGTCTGTGGATCCTCCGCATGATGCTGGATTTCAAATTTTGACGCAGACGTTGGATCAGACTCTCGGGAGGAGGCCGGGAATGTATTGTAGGGGGATGGGGAATGCCCGACAGAGGGAACCTCGACTGCGGTCATCGTCGCAGGCAAACAGTCAGGTGACTGTTTTGACATCGCGGGTTGCCGAGCTTGAGGGTCAGATGTCGGTGATTCTGCAGTCCCTCGCGCGGTCCGGCATTCCAATCCCGAATTTTGGTGCGTCGACCTCCGAGCCCGTCCACCCCGAGCATCCCCAGCACACCACAGCCCCTGCAGACGCCCATACCTCCGAGCCGCATGTGGCAGATGACCAAGTAGATTTTGGAACATTATTTGATTAGTTTTTTATTTTTATAATTACTTTTACAATTTGTATACATTTCTTTTATTTTATATAATAGATGTTTTCTTTACGATTAATCTTTTTATTGTAATTTCAATTTAATTATAAAAAAAAACCAAATTTATTTTTTTACAAAATTAAAAATCAAATAATAATAATTTTTTTTAAATAATATATTGCTTTTGCGCGACGAAACGTAAATCGTCGCGCAAAAACATTTAAATAACACGTCGACAAATATATTTTAATCATGCGCGATGAATAATTTCGTTGCGCAAAATGTGTATGCGCAACGAATATGATTTCGTCACGCAAAGTTCATGTAGCTCGCGCGACGGAATAGTCAGTCGTGCAGTTTTTTTTTGCGACGACCACTGTTTCGTCGCGCAAATATTTGTGCGACGGACATTGAGGTCGTCCCGAAATGTTTTTTTAAACGAAGTTGTTATACGTAGCGCCAACAGCGCAACGAATGACATTTATTCGTCGCGCAAATCCTTTCTTCACGAACTTTGCGCGACGGACTGTGCGCGACGAAACTTCTGTCGCGCATAATTATGTGCGACTAAAATCATTTTTGCGCGACGAAGACCCCTTCGTCGCGCAAAGACTAAAATGTAGTAGTGCATACGCATTTCAGAATATCTAAACCATTAAAATTATCCAACTGTTTAGGACATGACACATAAGCTTTGTTTTTCATCAGAAAATTGTTTTTTAATTAACAATTATTTTATTGTTAAAAAATTAAATAAATAAAACTAAAAAATCACGCCCTTTCCACCACCATAGGGGGAAGAGGTTATAACTTCTTTGGCAAAAGGAGCTCAGGCAAGACACGGTCATAGGGAGAGAGGGTCTGTAGGGATGTGGAAGAGAAAAAAAAAATAGAGGATGAGAGCAATGCAAGGGGCAAGATAGAAGGGTAAGCTTGCAGACAATAGCGGGGGATTTGAATGGTCAAGAAATTGTCAATGACATGTATATAAGCGTCGGGTGGCGGAGATAATAGGTACACCAAATTAAAGAAGACAGGCATCTTCTTCAAATTAAGTGATACATAGATTGACTTTACTTATTTTGTGAGTATTCGAACTAGAGAGAGAGAGACAGCAAGATCGACACAAATAGAGAGGTAACGATGTCTAGGATGATGCTTATGCTGCTGCTATGCCTCTCAGTTGGGACAATTTCGGTTGTCCATTGTGGGAACCCTTACCTTTTTTTCACATGGAATGTCACCTATGGAACCCTCTCTCCTCTGGGAGTTCCCCAGCAAGTCATTCTCATAAATGGCCAATTTCCTGGACCCAACATCAACTCCACCACCAACAACAATATCGTGCTCAACGTCTTCAACAACCTTGACGAGCCATTCCTTTTGACATGGTGCGTACCTAGCTAATTCGATTCACATATATCCTATAATTAATTAATAAGTTTTTATTTAATTAATTGAGATTAATTATTGCAGGCACGGTCTCCAACAGAGGAAAAATTCATGGCAAGATGGAACCCTTGGAACCATGTGCCCCATTCCCCCTGGTACGAACTACACCTACCAATTCCAAGTGAAAGACCAGATCGGGAGCTACATGTACTATCCCGCAACTGCCATGCATAAGGCAGCCGGTGCCTTCGGTGGCCTCCGAGTGAACAGTCGCCTGCTCATTCCAGTGCCTTATGCCGATCCAGAGGATGAGTACACTGTCCTCATCGGTGATTGGTACACCAAAAGCCACACCCAACTAAAGAAATTATTGGACAGCGGTCGTTCCATGGCCAGGCCAGACGGGGTCCTCATCAACGGCAAATCTTCAAAGGGAGATGGGAAAGACGAGCCCCTCTTCGTCATGAAGCCCGGCAAGACCTACAAGTACAGGATCTGCAATGTGGGGATCAAGAACACCCTCAACTTCAGGATCCAAGGACACTCCATGAAGCTTGTTGAATTGGAGGGCTCCCACACCGTCCAAAACACCTACGACTCCATGGATGTGCATCTCGGGCAATGTTTCTCCGTGCTCGTGACTGCCGACAAGGACCCCAAGGACTACTACATGGTGGCTTCCACCCGATTCACTAAGAGTGTGCTCACCGGCAAAGGCATCATCCGCTACGAAAATGGAAAGGGCCCTGCTTCGCCTGAACTCCCCAAGGCCCCCGTAGGATGGGCATGGTCTCTTAACCAGTTCCGCTCCTTCCGCTGGAACCTCACTGCCAGTGCTGCCAGGCCTAACCCTCAGGGCTCCTACCACTATGGTAAGATTAACATCTCCCGCACCATCAAGCTCGTCAACTCCGCTAGCAAGGTGGACGGCAAGCTTCGCTATGCCATCAACGGAATCTCCCACGTGGACACTGAAACTCCCCTCAAGCTGGCTGACTACTTTAAAGTTTACGACAAAGTCTTCAAGTTCGATACCATGAAGGATACTCCCCCAGCCACAGCGGCAGACAAGATCACCATGGAACCCAACGTTGTTAACATAACCATAAGAGATTTCGTTGAGATCATCTTTGAGAACCCGGAGAAGAGCCTTCAGACATGGCATTTGGATGGATACTCCTTTTTTTCCGTCGCGTAAGTTCATCTATTTATTATACATATCTATCTAATTAAGCTAATTAAAGGAAATTAATCATCCTCCCTCTACAGCTCGGAGCCCGGCACGTGGACCCCAGAAAAGAGAAGCAACTACAATCTCCTTGACGCTGTGAGCAGGTACACTGTCCAAGTGTTCCCCAAATCCTGGGCTGCCATCATGTTGACATTCGACAACGCCGGAATGTGGAACGTAAGGTCTGAACAACCGGAGAGGCGCTACCTAGGACAACAATTTTACGTGGGCGTTGAAAATATTGCACGCTCCCTCAGAAACGAGTACAACATGCCAGACAATGCCCTTGTCTGTGGCATTGTTAAGGACATGCCCAAGCCCGCACCATTCAGCATGTAACATATTTCACCGCCATGCCATGCCGCTTCACACTGTGTGACAGATACAGAGTAGAAAGGGACAGCGACAATCCGAAAAATTGTACGTGTGTGAGTGAGTGTGAGAGAGCGAGATCATCATTAAGATTTTTTGTATTTCTTCGCAGCCAATTTAAGCGAAGAGTGTTAAAAGAATGGTAAAGAATAAGAAGTGTTTGGTACATCATAAAAGATTGCCTCATTATGTATGCATCCACCCTCTAGAATTATGCCATTACATTTTCCTGTCAGAAAAAATTAAAATAAAAATAAAAAAAGGAGAAACGAATATGCCATTACAGTTTTGTACTTCCATTTTATTTATACATTATAATCTCTTTCTTAATTACATTTTCCCAATTCATTTTGCCTATTTTTTATTTTCCTCAACATATACAAAACGTCCTTGACGTTTGCGAAACTATCAGATTGCATTTTTTAAAGTTTTTTTGTATCACTCATGGTCCCTAGCGTTAATATGGGTGCTCTTAAATAGTTCATCTATCAAAAAAACTGTTAAATTCAAGGATATAATCGTCATATCAATCCAAAATTATAAAATATATATATTTTTTATTTCCTTCCCTTCTCTCTTTCTTTCTTCTTCTTCTTTCTCTCTCTCTTTTTTTCTTCTTCTTCCTTTTCTTCTTCTTCGTTATCTCCACCAGTTTAGTTTAAAATGTGAGTGGATGTGGTTTTTTTTTTTTTTTTGTTTGGTGGTCCAATAATAAACGGATTGTGAAACAGGTAATGGCCTTGTTTTATAAAAGGAAAAAGGAAAGAAAAGAAAAGGTGGTTTCTAGCTTAGCTCCTGCAATGGAGGTGTGGGTGGTAGGTTGCCTCCCAGGGCAGGGTCGAATAATGGAAGTGTTTATGTCTCTAGGATCCCTAGGATCATGCCTCACAACATACAGCCGTTTATCTCCTCTAGCATAAAAAAAACAAATCAAAAAGAAAATTGCATTAAAAGAAGGAAAACAAAGAAAAAAATAATGGTCAAACCGCATCTATATACATCAAATAGTCCCATGTGAGATACCCAGAGAAGAGATAAGGAATGAGAGAAAGAAGAAGAATAAAAGAAAGACTGTAAGAAGAAGAAAGAAAGAGAAAATGGAAGGAAATAAAATATATATATATATATATATTATAATTTTGGATTGATTTGATGATTATTATATTCCTAGATTTAACAGTTTTTTGACAGAATGACTATTTAAGAGCACCCATATTAACGTTAGGGACCATGAGTGATACAAAAAAACTTTAAGGATGCAATCTGATAGTTTCGTAAACGTTAGGGATGTTTTGTGATAAAAAGCCAAATATATATATTACAAAGTCTCATCACTTTTCTTTACTCTTTAGGGTGGGTACTGTTCGAGTTGGACCGATTTTTCCTCAAATTAGAATCGATCCGATACTATTCATCTGGTTTGGTTCGATTCGATTTTAATAAAAAAAATTCAAAAACTGTCTGGTTTGGGTTGAACTGGTTTCGGTCCGGTTCGATTTTGAACCGGAGTATAAAAATTATTTTTTAATACAATTCTCAATTGAAATATTATTATTTTTACTTGAAAATTAACAAATTATTCAATTTCATATAAAAATAAATATTAAAGTTAGAAAAATAGAGATATTTTGAAATTGAACTTTGGATTAATATTAGTTTTTTTTGTTAAATTAAAAATATAGCATTAAATATAAATATCTATTGAAAGTATATATTTTTTAATTTGATCGGTTCAGTTCGGTTCGGTTTGTGAAGACATGGAACCATATCCAAAACTAGTTTGAACTGGTCTGGTTTGGTTTTTGACCGATTGTTGACTTTTTGGTCAACTTAGTTTTTTTTGTGTTTGGTTCGGTGCTGTTCGGCTCGGATTTCTGATTCGCCGGTTTGAGTGCCCACCCCTATTAGCTATATAGAGCCATATAGACACGTGGTAAATTTACTATTTACTCCCTACTATATAGAGACCTAGAGTCGTGGTAAATTTACTATTTAGATTGTCATGAATTCAACCAAAACAAACAAATGTTTGTCACTTAGCATCATATAATCGGATTCCGAGCTTCTGCATTTAGCATCCACATTTCAAAATATCTGAACCATTAAAATTATCCAACCGTTTAAGACATGAAACATAATATTTTTTATTTTTTATTTCATAAAAAAATTGTTTTTAAATTAACAATTATTTTATTGTTACAAAATTAAATATATAAAACTAAAAACTCACTCCCTTTCCACCACCATAGGGGGAAGGGGCTAATAACTTCTTTGGCAAAAGGAGCTCAGATTAGGCTGCTCCAATCTTCCTTCCCATTCATTTATAGTGGGCCCTTCTTCTCCCTAAGTTAGAGCCATCAATTGATTGGTGGATTACGTCCCTTAACTAGAAGAAGATAGCTTTGGGGGTCATTGTGGTTTAGCTGTATTTGGTGGGGCTTGTTGTGGTAAGAGCAACTCTAGCAAGGAGCTGAGCCCAAGGCTGGGGGGAGAAAAAAACAAAAACCTGTTTCCAGCAAGGAGCCCAGGCCTAGGTGCAAGGTGGGACCCAGCAACCTGGGTTGGCCTGAGGGCAAGGTTAGCCCGAGCTCCAGCCCTCGTTTTGGTGCTGATGTCATCGATACAATACCGCTAAAGTCCACGTGTCGCACTCTGGGCTCTCCGATAAGATTTTTTTTTCTCCAATCCAACAGCAACCAATTTTTGTGCAATAAAAAAATGAACAAAAATCAAATTTTTTAAAAAAAATACCAAAAAAATATTGATTTTTTTTTCTATAAATACCAAAATTTTATCCGATTGAGATATGAATTTTATAATAAATATTGACATGTACGAACCCAAAAATCTTATCCGAAAATATTATCCAAATGAATTGTTTAGGTAAACAAATTTGTGAAAAAAACAAAAAAATGAATAGTAATTGCCCTTTGCCAAGGCAACGGGTGGAAACACACAATACTATTTGCAAGGGCAACCCTGCCCTAGCTCCCCCCCCCCTGCCCGCCATGGCAAGGGGCAAATGAGTGGAGTTGTTCTAAGGGGGAAAGAAAAAGGGGAGTTGTTTTCCACACACCAAATCTCATCCCCATCGACTGGGACATCGGAAGAAACAAGTGTTTTGAGAGAAGTATGGTGGTTAGGGTGGCGTGGGAGTGGGTAGGGGTTGGGAGGGGGAGTTGGCTTTCTGGTTTTGTAATTTTTGGATTTTGTAATTTTTTTTATAAATATTTTAGATTGAATTAAAGTTTTTTTGTTATTAGATTTTTCAAGATTTGCTAACGTGTGATATTTTAAACGATTAAATTATTAGAATGGTTCATATATTGCGAAATGCAGATAAATGCATGAACACTAAATACAAAGGCTCGTGATCTCACACTTTTTCATATTAAAAAATTTAAAATTAAAAAAAAAATCAAATAATGGATCTTATTTATATGGAACATAACTACCCATTATCTTTTTTAATTCTAAAATAAATTTTTTTTTATTTAAAAAACATCTCGCAGGCGTGGAAGAGTGTGCAAAGAGGCTAGTTTTTCTTGAGCAAGGATCTATCTCGTGTCTGGTACTGCATGGTTCCACTCTGCAAGAACTCCGAATCATTCTCTTGAAGCCCATCCTCTTCATCATAAATTATCCGCTTGCCCCGAAATGACCTGACCCAATAGGGAAATCCCAATTCATTGGGCCTTTCGATACAATCAAATAGAAAGCCCCAAGGGTGGGATCAACAATATTTACCATTAGATAAGGAAAAGTTAGTTTGTTATAACCAATATTGTATAAGTTGACGACAAAAAAGTTGTATCGCAATTGTAACATTAATATTGTATAAGTTTGCCTAATATTCTCTTTAATGAGTATTCTTGCCGACATCCTTTTTATATTTACTTATTTTCTAAGACTTAATTTGTTACATCAATATATTTTATCAACATGGAGATGAAAATCTCCCAGTAATTATCCAACACGTACGTATGAGATGAAAATTTATTTTTCTCCGTAAAGATAATTATGACCAAATGTTACATAAAAGCAGCGTTGCTCATATTTGGTACTTTTCTGATAATTTTGATTTTTGAACTTGAGAAGAAACTGAGATAGCAAATACAGCCAAACAGAAATAGCAAACATTCTTTATCTTTAGTAAAGACATACTAAATTAAAGATGGCTCCATTTGTTATTTTCGCACATGATAATACTTCATGTGGAATTTCCTGACGTAGTCTTGGTTGTTGGTGCATGCGTTTGAGAGAGATAGAGTCTAAAGGGGACAAGAGAGGAAAAGAAAATGAAAGGGCAGGCGCAAAGTAAGGGACAAGAAAGAAGGGTGAGCTGAGAGACGATCCCGGAAAGTTTGAATGGTTGAGAAATTGTGAAAGAGGTGTATAAAAGGGAAGGGTTGGGAAGGATGAAGATCGTAGAAGAAGACCCAAGTATCTTCTTCTTCGAATAAATATAAGGGACATAAATAATAATTGCTTGAGGAAAGGGTTGAATAGTGGTGAAATAAAAGAGATGAGTTCCGTGATGTATATGCTGTTGCTCTGCCTCTCGGCTGGCGTAATATCGGTGGTCCAGGGTGAAGACCCTTACCTGTACTTCACATGGAATGTCACCTACGGAACCATCTCTCCCCTCGGACTCCCCCAACAAGGAATTCTCATCAATGGCCAGTTTCCGGGACCCAACATCAACTCCACCAGCAACAATAACATCGTGCTCAACGTCTTCAATAACCTTGATGAACCACTCCTTTTCACATGGTACGTATATGCACTTACGCGTTCATTGATTTACATATTCCAATTTAATTAATAAAATTATTTGTATCACATTTATTTATTGACTACTTTGCTGACCACCTCTCCAATAAAAATGGAATTAATTCATACAGGAGCGGTGTCCAGCAGAGGAAGAACTCATGGCAAGATGGAACCCTTGGAACTATGTGCCCCATCCCCCCTGGTCAGAACTACACCTACCGCTTCCAGGTCAAGGACCAAATTGGGAGCTACTTTTACTATCCCATCACTGCCATGCACAGGGCATCCGGTGGCTTCGGTGGCCTCCGCATCAACAGTCGTCTGCTGATCCCCGTTCCTTATGCTGATCCAGAGGATGACTATACTGTCCTCATTGGTGACTGGTACGCAAAAGGCCACACCGCTCTCAAGAAACACTTGGACAGCGGTCGCTCCATGGGAAGGCCTAACGGTGTCATCATCAACGGCAAATCAGCGAAGGGAGACGGCAAAGACGAGCCCCTCTTCACCATGAAGCCAGGCAAGACCTACAAGTACAGGATCTGCAACGTGGGGCTCAAGAACTCCCTCAACTTCAGGATCCAAGGCCACCCAATGAAGCTTGTTGAGATGGAGGGCTCCCACACCGTGCAGAACACCTACGAGTCGCTTGATGTGCACTTGGGACAATGCTTCTCGGTGCTTGTGACTGCCGACAAAGACCCCAAGGACTACTACATGGTGGCCTCCACCCGATTCACCAAGAAGGTGTTGACCGGCAAAGGCATCATGCGCTACGAAAATGGTAATGGCCCAGCGTCCCCCGAGCTCCCCGAGGCTCCTGTAGGATGGGCCTGGTCTCTCAACCAGTTCCGTTCTTTCCGCTGGAACCTCACTGCCAGTGCTGCCAGGCCTAACCCTCAGGGCTCTTACCACTACGGCAAGATCAACATCACCCGTACCATGAAGATCGTCAACTCCGCCACCAAGGTCGATGGCAAGCTCCGCTATGCTATCAACGGAGTCTCCCACGTGGACCCCGAAACCCCACTCAAGCTGGCTGAGTACTATGGAGTTGCCGACAAGGTCTTCAAGTACGACACCATCCAGGATGAGCCCCCCGCCACAGTTGAAGACAAGGTCACCTTGGCACCCAACGTTGTCAACCAGACCTTCCGTAACTTCGTGGAGATCATCTTTGAGAACCACGAGAAGAGCATTCAGTCGTGGAATTTGGATGGATACTCCTTTTTTGCGGTCGCGTAAGTAATTTAGATTTGGGATTTTTTTTTTAAATTATTATTATTATTAGTTCAATAACTAATGAATGACTATTTGCACCGCATGCATGCAGCATTGAGCCCGGGAGGTGGACCCCAGAAAGGAGAAACAACTACAACCTTTTGGACGGTGTGAGCAGACATACCATCCAGGTGTTCCCCAAATCCTGGGCTGCCATCATGTTGACCTTCGACAATGCTGGAATGTGGAATGTGAGGTCAGAACAATCCGAGAGGCGCTACCTTGGACAACAGTTCTACGTGAGTGTTCTCTCTCCAGCACGCTCCCTCAGGGACGAGTACAACCTGCCAGACAACACCCTCGTCTGCGGCGTTGTCAAGGATTTGCCTAAGCCCCCTCCATACAGCGCCGGCGCCTAAACTCTGATCTCATCATCTACGTACTATGTATAAATAGGAGTTCGTACTAGTGTACTGTACAACAAAAAGGAATGGTCTGGCTGATGATCATGCATGTGTATCAACCCTTTCCAAAATGCAATAAATTTTCAATTATAATATATTTATATATATTTATTCTTAATCAAATAATAAACAAATATAACATTAAAGAACCAAAGAGTATGTAATATTCCCTTTTCATATATTGTCATGCATTACATATCAAATTAAAAATAAGATCCACTACTCAAATGTACCGAAATTGTTAGGTGAACATGGAAAATCCTATATATATAATATATATAGCCATATGTATATGGTTACTACAAGTACACACTCACGATGGATTTCACTCATTGGTCTTTCTTCTCTGTGTATGTGTATGTGTTATCGTGTGTCTACGTATGAGTGAGTGCACCAAATTAAAGACTTCCATGAGAGCTAGCTTTTTTTTTCATCAGTCCAGTGCAGTGCAGTACGTACTAACGCCTTTTCTTTGAAAAAGTAGTTGGTAGGGGTCTATCTTTCTTTTTAATTTTTTTTTACTTTTGGTCACTCTGAGAGACAGATCACTTTGAGTTTGAGGTAGGGGTCTATCTCAAAACATTCCCCTTCCTAGGGAAATTTGAAGGTTTTTTTTTGGCAGAAGGGAAATTTGAAGTTTAAACCCACATTTTCATTCCTAACAAACAGCTAGATCAACATATCAGTCCTGTCAGAGAAGATGGTGTGGTGTCCATGCATGCGCAGATGAACCCAATTTTGTTTGTGATGCTTACTTCCACTCACCCAGATAGAAAGTGACGAGTCTTTACATCTTAAGTGATTTAGGACCACCTCTCTCTCTCTCTCTCTCTCTCCCGACAGTAATGATCGATATTGTCCTTGATGTTCTTGTAGTATGGCAGCCACTGGCGGACTCATGAATTTTTTAGCGGAGGTGCAATTTTGAAAGGCTAAAAACTCTTTATGGATTGAACATCTAAGGCTTTTTACCTAGATTGACCTTAGGTCCCTTCATGCATTCATATCAAATATTAACTAAGTATGAAAAATGGTTTTTCGGAATAATCATTTTTTTAAGATAATTTTTGGCGGCTTTTATTCCTTACACATCAAATAAGAAAACTTGATTTTATGGAATTTTATTATGAAGTATATATTGACTTAATGAGCTATCATTTTTAGCCTAAATCGTATTTTGCACTAAAACCGATTTTTCAAATTTTGATTTGGGGGGAATTTGATTTTCTAGTATTTTTATTTGAATCCAAATATTGAAAATGAAAATAAGATAATCTGTATACCACCATCAGCTGAGCAAATGGGCAATTTCAAGCACCTACAATGGTTTTTCTGGCGAGGGGAGGTGCAGATTTCAATTCTTCCATGTTTCAGCAGTAGTTAGTATATTGTTCCATGGAGCTAAGGTCCAAAATATGGAAGAAACAGGTGTTTCCACGACTCTACCGCCCAGTCAATTCTGTTCCACTTAATCCCTGTTTCATGGCCACATATCTTTCCGGCTAAGGAATGGGAAACCTTTCTCTTGTTACATGAATCCAATTTTCATTTCATCCGGGAAAAGCCATCTTTTTCTCAACAATGTCTTTGTCATTTGATCCAATAGCGTTCCGTTAGATAGGAACAGCTTTGATAAATACTGATAACTCTCGGATGGAGTATTAGAACGGAAAAATCCATTAGATAATGAACTATTGGTTCTAAGCCATCTCTGGCGATGAATCAACAATTCGAAGTACCTTTCTTGCGTATTCTTGATAAACCAGCGTTTATATATAGATGTAGGAAGATCTGTTTGGGAAGTAAGAAGCCCCTTTGACAGCATCTCCTTGCTCCTTAACAGGTCCGCCTCTGATGGCAACCACTACTAATGTAAACGGCCTCCTCTGACCCTCCGCAAATACCAAACAGATGATCAAGTTTTTATTGATTCATGATATTATTGCTAAAAGGTTTTGTGTATAGAGCTACAGAGCTAGAAACTCAAGAATAATACTTTAGGAATGATTATGCAAGCGAGCGAGCGTCAACTAATCGAAAACCACTAAGAAGTATAATCAAATAAAAAGACAAACTGCTTGCTTCTATTGGGATCTCTAAGACTTTGCATCTCCATATTTGGGACTCTCCTCCTGCTGCGGTGAGATAATTAATGTTTAATGATTTGTGTAGGGTTTCTACCCTTAGATCTGTTTGCTGTTTAGTGTTTGTGTTGGGCCTTAGCCCTCCTTGTTACCAAAAAATAAATAAAAAATAAAAAGACAAATGCCATTTGTGCTCCTTACAAATTAATTAGATTGGATGAAGGGACTACATTATAGATTGAGAACAAATAAAGTGTCCCTTATTTAAGGAAATAATGTGCATATTTAAGTGGGTAAGAGCATTTATCATTGTGTCCGAGATCTATGTTTAGTTCCCCCTCCCCAATTGCTTATATCAAATGTGAGGTTCATTTACCTAAGTAGATAACCTACGTGAATGAACGGAAAGTAACCTCATCAAGAAGTTATATGTAGAATTTGCGTGATTAACCCAAGACTTGGCAAAATTATTCAATCACTGTAATGAACTTGGACTGTGTTGAGTGTCCTGAACACTTAATCTTTCATGTATATGTTGTACGTGATTTTGTCAGATCTAACTCAAACTACAAGAAAAGCATAATTTTGCCTCAATGTGTAAGCATGTTCGTTTTAATTTATTTTAGTCAAAATCAGATTCCATTAAAAGCCAAAAAGGCAAGCAAACAACACACATGTCAATGGCACGATAGAACAACTACAAAGTTCGCAAACCCAGCATAAAAACAAAAATAAAAAACAATTAGCCCAACAAAACAACACACATATTCCACAGGCGCACCTCAAATACAATCAAAGCCCAAAATCAGGCATAAAGCTCAGTTCACACCACCGTGCCCAAAAATGAGGGGAGACACCGCCACCACACAAAACAACACAGCTGCATACAAGAGACTTACAGATCTGCCGCCAGGACCAAAATTCCCCCAAACACTGAACCACATAAGGACATCCACCCAAGCATCAGCTTCAACAAACCCGAACAGAGAACCCAACAACCAATCATAGCAAGATTAGGTAAATCACAACCTGAAGCCCGAAAGGACCAACACCAAGAGAGTGGAAAGAGGTTATGCAAGCATAAGAGCAAGAGCTCTACACACCTTCCAATAGGGAACGTGAGAAATCGCCTTTAGGATTAGCAGAGAGAGTAGACATGAGGATCCCTTCAAGGAGAAGGCGCTGGAAGTTCTTTCCTAGGGCAGTCGGAGAGAGAAGCGGCTTTTAGGTCAAACGTTTCATTTTACTTGGGAAACATGGGAATCGACATTTGAAGTTTTCAAGAAATGAAGGGGAAAATGTAGCTATGACAGGTCATACTCAACGCTGAAATTCAGGCTCCAACTCCCATTCATTTTGTGGTGTATAAAAAGTTGCAATCAATTATATTTTTCGCAAGATGATACTGATGGAAGAAATGAGAGAACTATTACCCAGTGTCTATAAATTCAATTAACCTTCTTGATGTCAACTTGACTCCGGGTTATCCACGTAACGACATGATTGAAGGCTATGATCAGAAGATGTAAAGGTACCAGGGCCGGAGAAAATTTACCCGCAAATGACAAAAAAGGAAAAGAAAAATACAAACATATGTAGCAGTACGGGCTTGCAGGATAGCACTAGCAGTGTGAATATGATATTACAAGAATGGCTAACACTTGCTGCTCAAGCTAAACAATTTTCAAGTAACAGCTGCCATCACTCGCTGCAAAAGCTAATCATCTCTACAATCTGCCAGCAGCAGTGAGTAGCATATCTCTCAAAACCAAGTTATTTCCCTCATCATGATTTAGCTTCAAGGCTAACATCACCAACCCCAAGGTTACACTTAAGACAATTGAAAACCTGCATCACAAGCTATGAAACTAGAAATAAAGTAGATACATTTGTGCTACTGAACATAACAAAGCACAGCTGGAATGGTCATTATTAAGTTGGAAGGTTGATACACTATCAAACTCAAGTTACAACAAGTATCTGGTCTGTTTTTTTTTCTGTTATTGCCTGTTTAAATTAAGCATGGCAATCCTCTCCGAATTCTAAGTTGAGCAATCAGAAAACGGATTATTTCAGACTTGAATGAGAGAATAGAGGTAGAGAAGAAAATAACAGAACACAACTGTGAGGAGAATCCCACCCCTAATCAAACACCTACTTGTACCTCTAACGCAATCTTGATATACTGGTATTATTTGTTTAATCACCAAACCCCAGGGAACCATTTACCTCTGGGGGGAATCCACAGTCCGAACATTTGCACCTGTCATTCCTTCAATTCGGTCTTTGGTTATCTCCACAAAGTGACCTACTATTTCATGGAACTGCTTGAGCCCTGACAGCGGGAGAATTATGGAGGAGCGATCAGAACCTGCAACCTGCAATTTTAACGGAATTCTAAAGATATTAAGACTTCATTTACTGTCAGAAACCTTAAATTAAAAGTAAAATGAACAAGAAAATTCGCATAGGGTCTCAATGAAATAATTTCTTTTTATTTTTTGAAGCATACCTCTGATATTCTTAGGAAATGGCCCCTGTTATTACTCCCAAGATCAAAGAAGAACCTTTTTTGATCAGCTCTGATCACTTTAGATACCCCCATGTTACCAATTTCATCCTGTGCAGGCAACTCTGCAGATCTGTCAACATTCAGTTCAGAAGTTGGAGCAGTTTGACTACTGTGGCCAGATATGAAGCCAGCGCCTACATCATCTGAAAGTCCAACAAGACGCTCTGAAGGTTCAGAACTTTGCTGCTTTGGCATGGAAACAACCAGGTGGAAATTAACAGGACGTGTGAGATACTAGAGAAAATTATATTACCCAGAAATAGAAAGTTTATGCATGAAAAACAAGAACACCTGATTGGGCAGTATAAAAAGTCTAGATGCTTCATTGATCTCTGCCAAAATGTTTCTAAATGCTGCCCACCCTTCATCCCGGGCGCTTCCTGCAGGAACAATGATAGTACTGCGATTTCTACTAACAGAAGCTTCGGATACCTGCACCAAAAAAATTTATGAGAGCAGAAAAAATTGGAGAACAAAAAACTGCAGTCTAGCCCTGGAATTGTCTTCTCCTCAGACTGGTTAGAATTCATGCAAAGACAATAATAAACAATCATCCATGCAATAAAGATAGCTTCATAACGTCATAGCTCGATGGATAAAAGTTACCCTAAGCCATAAAAGGTCCATCTTCTCCAAGAGCTCACTTCAATGGAAAGGTTTGACACCTCAATGTTGGCTCTTTGCCATATTTCAAGTTCCTACAACTAAAAAGTCAGGGCAGGGAACCAAAACCAGAGTTACATGCCCTGATTATGGAGTTAAACCTAGAACCATTATTATTTAATAATTGCGGTATACTGATGCCTAAGAATAGGCGCCCGAGAGTGCCTAAACATTGAGCAGTGGCTGCAAAGTTAAGAACTAAAAATAAATGCTGTAACATTGATGTAGAGTTTTAGGTGCTCAGGTGAGTGCACCTCCATTACTAATATTCCACTTCAACAATGGGAAAACATGAGAAGTTGGTAAAATGCATTTTAATGTAAGTGGAAAAATGTGAGGTCTTAAATCATGGAGTAAGAAGTTGGCAGCTGGATAAGGAACAAATTTTTCAGTGTATTGCAATGGAAGGATCATCGAGCTAAGAAATTTGGTGCAGAGAAATCTCTCTTTAGTACGCATGTTTAGGCCTGACATGGCAAACTCCCACATGGACATGTTTTGAACGGGATTAAAAGAGGGGCGCGAGTTCAGCAACAGATCTGCTGTGCCTGTACACAAGGAAATCCATGCTTGTGGGGTTTCTTCTCCCAGGCACAAAATAATGAAGCAAAGGCCTTAAACAATTAATTTTTTATAAAAACAAAAAACACTCAAGAGTCAGCAGCACCCAAGATCAATTGATTTAGAATGTGAATTGGTTTGTGTGATGTGGCCTTATTGTTTTCTTAGCAGTTCCGCACAAGAGTTTAACATTTGACATCTAGTTGGTTCCACTTGCCACTTCAATGTAGTATGTATCTTAGATCTTGGGAATCATCTTGTTTCCATAAACAAAAAGGTTAATAGGTAAGAATCCATTAAATTATTTATGATTCCACATCTTAAAGCATCTGGCTGCAAATATGAACATTTTAAAGTATTGATGCAATAAATACAACAATCAGCACTAGATTCAGATCGCATTCAAACAACTCAAACTGGACAACTTAACCAAATCCTTCTTTAGAAGAAATGAATCATTATAGAAAAAAAAAACATGCAACTTGAATTTATTAAGGTTTTCAAACATAAATCAAAAGAATACATGTTATAATTGTCCTTCAATGACACCATGCTAAATTCAGGGTAAAAAATGATAAAAAGAAGACACATAAAATGCATGCTTGAGTATATATGCTTAATTTTGACCAAAAAACGTATATATGCATAATGAAATTATATATAGAGTTATTTCCAAATACCTTACAAAATGGTATGTTTTTCAACTAAAAATCATACATGGATGACTGAGATGCCTGGTGGGTTCCATCCGCATCTAATATAACGGTTGACAAACAGGTATTTAGTTAAGGACCTTATTAGATATCCCTCCATATAAAGGTGCGTATATACACAAAAGTTCTTAAACATTTGATGCCAAGTACCTTAACAGAAAATAGAAATATACTATGCTCCAAGTCGTTGGAAAAAAAAAATAGAAATCAAACTAGAATGATAACTAGTTGGAGTATATAAGTAAATGGTATCTTTCCTATTAATTATTAGATTTTCATCCAATGTAAGAGGAAGTAGAGTAACAAAGCAATGCAACTACTACTTAACAAGTAGTGCAGGGCTCCATGTTATATCAAGGCCACAAAATATTCAAGTCGTTCACAAGCTGCTCAAAGCCAAATTTCACAAGTTTCGATGCATCAGACACATGATATTATCATCCAGTCCAATAGTGAACGTGAGCTACTAAAAGTGGAAGATAAAAAACTTTATGCTAATAGTTTTTAGACAGTTGTGTCAAGGACAAACATAGTTTACGATAGTCTTAATCAGATTTCAGCACAAATGCAAAAAACTGGATGTTGGTCTGAAAGAATGATGGAATTATAGAGTACTGATATGGAAATAAATTGGATCTCTTCCTAGGGTGTTGCTGAAATTCTGAAGTTTCGGCAACATATCAAAACCACATTGACTTCGGTGACAACTCCAAGAAAAAGCTGGATTTTCTAGAAAATATCTCCAATGGTATGAAGGGATGTATATCACTGAAATATAGCTGGGTTTACAGGATTTGGCTTCATCTCTACCGGACATGAACTCACAAGTCACGCCAACAATCAATTGCAGGCAAAGCACTTGTAGGGTTCCCTCAAGTTCCCCCTTACTTTGTTGCAAACGCAAAGATAGAGAAATAAAAATGAAAGTGGAGAATGTTTATTTCACAAAGAATTGGATTCACATGTCTTTGGGAAAATGTGAATGCTGAATTTTTCAATCCACCTTTTGTAGAAAAAGTTAAATGGCTTGCCATGATATGAAAAATACCAAAAGAGAGACTGGACAAACGAAAATGCTAGGAAGGAATTAGGAATTACTCTAGTAGGTCTAGTTTTTTTTTTTTTTTTTTTTTTTTTTTTTTTTTTGGTTTTTCTTTTTTAAATTTATTTTTAAGTTATTCAAATGGGCTGAAATTGTAATGAAATTTAAGCTAAACATTGGTTAATGTTTGTATTTAAATTAATTAAGCATTTTTCTTTTTGCACACAAAACAGTTGAGTATGGAACTAGAGATTTCCTAAAGCTCCATCCAAAATTTCCATTGTTTATGCAAGCTCTACCTGTATTTCTACCGATATTTCTGTGGACCAAACTACCAATAAACCTACATTGAAATTTTCAAACTTGAACATGATACTCTATATCATCATATGAAATAATAATAATAGAAACTAATGGCATTGCCAGTGGTGTCAGAGGCAAGTAACTAAAAACCCCAAACTTAATTTATATTCCTCAACAGAAAAAAGAAAGGAAAGTTCTGTAAAAAGATAATAATAATGAGACAGAGACAAAGAATGTACAAGAAGTGAGGTGATACAAAAAACAATTAACTACACTCAGGAAAACATAGACAACACACATAAAATGTTTGCATGTGGCATCACCATGTAATTAAGACCTTTTATGGCTAGCCAACTATACTCCACATATAAAGAGAGCCAAAAACGCCAGAATGCACCAAGTATAATACCATGAACCATTCTCCATCTTTACCATTGTCTCCAATAACTTTGAACTCTTTGCTTCCAAAAACTATCAGAACAATCTAAAGGACCATTACATTCACTAACTACATAATCCACCATTTAAACCTTGAATTAAATAGCTAAAAAGTAGTAGAGGGCAAACTACTTCTATATGACATTTCAGGGAGTATGCACTATAAAATCTTATGAATAAACAACATTTAGGAAAAAATAAAATTTCCAAAGCAGCATTAAACTAGAAGAGTGATTCTCGGTACCATGAGAGCGGTGAAACAAATACTTATGCATCTTTTTGTACGGGGGGGCAGGGGAGCAGAGATAAAAGTCCATAATTTTTCGTTAAAGGGTTTAGGGCATACTAATCCAACTTCTAAGGCATTTCAGGGGCCTCTTTACACAATCAAACTCTTGATCTTGCACACAGTTTGAAGAAAAGAGGGTTCTACAACGATTTACTATGAAATCAAATAGTCATTGACTAATACCTTTTCGTACACCATATATATCGAAAAATATCAAATCCCATACCCTAGTCAGTACAGGGGAAGATTTCTTCAAAATAAGGACGAAGGATCTACTTATCAATACCAAGTAATCCAGAATGCAAGGGGAAGCATAGAGTATTTTTAAGGGGGAAAATCACGTACACACAAAAGCAATTGTTTACATACGAATATATATTTAGGAAAAAAGAAAATTAGAAAATCTGAAGCGAAAGATTATTGATAAAGGAGAGGAGGCAACCCAGATGCAAAGCTAAACTGATGTGTCTAGTCAAAATGTCATTAGCATTGAAAATGAAACGCAGCAGATGTAAGTTTAAGTGAGCAAGTAAAACACTGAAAATAAAGAGGATAAAAGATATTTGAAAAAGAAAAAAGAAAGAAAGAACCTTCAAGAAACGGCCCCTGCGGTTCTCGCCAATGTCAAAGTAGAAGACCTGAGGAGATAATTAAGCAAAGAAAGGAAAGAAGGAAAACATGAGGCGGGTGGTGGAAGCAATCTTAGGGGTGGAATGAAAAGTTTGCTGCTACTTACCTTGGTGTCTAGCTGCAATTCCTTGCTGAACACATCCTGATCGTCTGAATTGACATAGTAATTGAAGAGATCGAGGAACCAGGAGATACCGGAGAAGGGAACGATGATGGTGGACCTGGTGGCTGACGTCTTCTCGGAAATTTTGAGATAGCGGCCGCGAGGGTTCTCTTTGAGATCGAAGTAGAAGAGCTTGTGCTCAACCTGCAGCGTCTTACACAGAAGCTCCACGTCATTACCTCCGCCTCCAGCTCCACCTCCTACTGTCGTTGCTCCTCCTGCTCCTACTCCTGCTACTGCTACTGCTCCTCCTCCTCCTACGCCACCCGAATTCCCTTCCATCTCCAAATCTTATAAGTATTTCCCTTCCTAAAAAATATAACACAAGAGCCCAGCCCCCAAGGTTGCCACTCCACTACTGGAACCTTTGGACCTCTGCTCTGGTTGGCTTTGGTAACTTGTCACCTACTACTCAGATCTCACTTTATCAGGGAGGATGCTGCTGCCAAATTGCCTGCTCCTCAATTGTCAGCGTGTACTACTACTTATGCAATACTAGGGTTTTGGGCCTTGGGGTTGGGCAGGGATGTCATGTGAGGGGGAAATTGACCCACTCACTCACTCGGCTCAGCCTCCAGTTTCCACTCCTGATTCATTCCCAATTTCCCATCCGGTATTTTCTAATTTCTAGTATATAATTAAATATTCAGCTTCTTTTTACTTTGGGTTTTCAGCCGTTTTACCCTGAAATATGACCTTTGTAGAAATTAACCCTTTAAATTAAAAAATCAGCTAATTTAGTCACTGAACAAAAAAATATAGTCAATTACATCCGTGTCGTTATATTTTATCACATTTAATTCACAATTTCGTTAATAATATCATGTGAAGCGTACATGCAACAAAAATAGGGACATTTCGGTCCTCCTCAAACCAGCCACCCATTTCCCTCAACATTTCCTCCTGATAAAGGGTCACACCACTTGATTAAACCAAACAAAAAAAAGACCAAGAGATGGATCTTGGGTCAACTTCATGATCAAAGAAAGCCACAGCCTTCCTGATGACAGGGCTAGTGAAGAACCAGAGAAAGCCAAAAGGGTCCTAACCTTACCCACAGGCTGCTCCGGGTCAGAGAAAACGCCACTTGTATTCTCTCCCTTAGAGACAGCTCCGGTAAGCACCACCTTGGCAACATCAGCTCTAATGTCAAGGGTCTCAAGCCACAGAGCAATGGGACCAGAACCCTGAACATTCACGTTGTTTAAACCATTAAACCCTTTTTACCCAAATTGATTCAGTTGTTGGAGGAATCGACTGTGACGGAACAAAGTGGTGATGGTGGGGCAATGAATTTTAATGTGGAGTTAATCGTTTATTAGTCCCTGAATTTAGACCCAATTTGTATCATTCAATTTCCAAAATGATTCCCGTGATCCTTTTAACTTCAGTTTCATTAGAACAAATGGTCATGCCGTTAATTTTGTTAACTTATGCAGGGATAAAATGGTATTTTTGTATCAAAATTGATTAAAATATGAATAAAAAATTAAAATTAAACTCTCTCTCTCCCCCTCTACCTTGATTTCTACTCCCCAAAAACTTGAAAAAAAAATTATTGGTTTTTTACTTGATTGTTTTTATTGTTATTTTAAAGATATGTTTTTATTCATTTTTTTGGTTTTAATATAAAAATACCATTTTGCATCTGCATTTAACAAAAAAAGTTAATAAAATTGACGGCATGACCATTTATCCAAACGAAACTAAAGTTAAAGGACTACGGGAACCATTTTGGAAATTAAGTTACTCAAATGCAAATCGGATCAAAGTTCAGGGACTAATAAAACAATTAACCCTTTTCATGTATCAATATGTTGGTAATAGTCCAAAACCAAGCATCAATGTCTTGTGAAGTAACGAAGAGAGAAGAAAAGGTATCAATGGCTGAACCCAAAACCAAATACGACCGCCAACCCAAGTACTGTTTCTCATTCTCTCTCTTCTCTCGTTTTATCATCTTCAAAACTCAAGCTCTTGTATACCCACATGGGTTGGATTTGTCTTTTGGATTGTTTGTGGTGCTTCGATTGTGTGAAATAGGGTTGTTGTGTTTCCATTTTCACTCTATTCAATCAGGGAAGATGAGGATTGGGAGGGAAAAGAGGTTCGGGACTATATTGCCCTCCAATTCTGTTACACGTGAGCCTCACCTGCGAATATTAACAAAACTTTGGATGAAATCCTTTATAATCTAACGGCAGGTCTAAAATGGCCATTTAATTTGGGTGCTAAATTAGATGACATTTTAATTCAAAGGGTTAAGTTCGATTAGGGTCCTAATTCGGGGGGTGTACAATAATTTACTCTTTTATTTTTATTTGTATTATTTTGCCCTTAAGTTTTATACAAATTTAGTTATATACCCAATCTTACCATTTAAAAACTATAAACACACTCACAAATCAACAGCTGTCAATTTTTTCAATTTAATTGCTATTTTTTAGTTTATTTGTGTGTGTAAAATACCTATATTGCCCTTGTACTATGGATTTGAGAGAGAAAAATCAGATCTGCCAAAAAACCATTCTTGTTGGTGCTTTCTCGATGTTGGAGCAAAAGGAGCTTCCATTGAATCTCAATCTCAGGTTCAACTATATTCTTCATCTCTGATCTACAATTTTCAATATTTCACCTTCGATTTCTTGTTCTAAAATCGTGCTTCTATTCTTTTTTTTCTTTTTTTTTGGATTGTTCAAAACCTCGAACGAACCTCGATAAGATGCTCTTAGCTCTACTCCTCATCTTCAAGCTCTACTCCTCTTTCGCCACTTCGTCGTCATTGTTGTCATCATCATCGTCGCCATCGTCATTTGGTTTGGACATGAGATTTTTTATCTTTTGCTTCAATTATGTGTTTATCTTTGGATTTTAGTTTATTTTTGGAATGTATTTTAAGCTTTGATGATCAATTTATCTTTTGTTACTATTTCAGTTATGGATCTCATTTTTGTTTAACAATGTACTTCTATGACATAATAGTATTAACAATCTGGGCTCAGCTTGTTTTCAGTTGGTCTGATTTGTTCTTTCTTCATCTTTTCTTTGATGGACATGTATTAGAAATAGCAACATGACAAGCATTAATCAACATGATAGTAAACTAACAGTGTTATTATCCTAGACTGGAACATTACAGGAGTAGACATACATTAGATATAGGATATCATAGATAACTAGCAGTGTTATTACCCTAGACTGGAACATTACAACCGTTAATCAACATGACAGTAAAATAGCAATGTTATTACCTTAGACTGGAACATTACAAGCGTAGACATACATTAAAAATAGAATGTCATAGAAAATTAACAGTGTTATTACCCTAGACTAAAACATTACAGAGATAGACATGGATTAGAAATAGGACGTCATAAGAAACTAGCAGTGTTATTACCCTAGATTGGAACATTATAAGGGTAGACATGCATTAGAAAAAGGATGTCATAAGAAACTAGTAGTGTTATTACCTTAGACTAAAACATTACAAAGGATAAACATGTATTAGAAATAAGATGTCATAGGAAACTATCAGTGTTATTACCCTAGACTAGAACATTATAGTCATTAATTAACATGACAGTAAACTAGGAGTGTTATTACCCTAGACTGGAACATTACAATCATTAATCATGCATTAGAAATAGGATGTCATAAGAAACTAGTAGTGTTATTACTCTAGACTATAACATTACATGTGTAGACATGCATTAGAAATATGATGTCATATGAAACTAATAGTGTTATTACCATAGACTGGAACATTACAGGGGTAGACATGCATTAGAAATAGAATGTCATACGAAACTAGCAGTGTTATTACCCTAGATTGGAACACAACCATTAATCAACATGACAGTAAACTAGCAATGTTATTATCCTAGACTGAAACATTATAGCAATTAATCAACATGACAATAAAGGTGTGGAACATTACAGTCATTAATCAACATGACGCATTAGTGAAGCTATGGTTTTCAAGATGTTTTGTTTGTAATGAATTGTTTAGGTTTTTTTTTATAAAATTGGGCTGGGCTTCTTTTGGGTGCCTTTTAAGTTTTGTGTGTTGGGATTTTTTTAAGTTGATCAATAGCAGTCACGTAATTTATAGGAACTTCAACACCAATTTCTTATGTAGTAAATGAGTTTTAGGTGTGTTTCTGAAGTGCATTTCATGTGAGTTTTTCTTTATTTTATAATTTCAGCCAATATTTTGGGTATATTAGTCAAACTCCCTAAGTTTTACAATGGTGCTAACAAAAGTGATTTTTCCAAGTTGAATTGAAGAACCAGATTGTGAATCGAGCTAACAAGGGTTGGTTGAGTTGGTAAGGATCGTTCTTTTCGCTAATCAAGTTTAGGTTCGAGTCGCGTCGTTGACAATCCCTCTTAATGTTTAATTTGTAAAAACTAAAAAAGAGGCTAAGACCCCCTTTATAAGTCCTCAAAGTGACCTTCGCATGCCCTGGCTTTGGATGAGGTAACCTTCCCTCCCCCTAAATGTTTTTTCATGAGGACAAAAAAAATTGTGAATCGAGCAAAAATTCAATTAAGCCTAAACCCTTTTAACGCTATTGTATTTTCCCATCATGTTATTTATTTATTGCTTCTTCAGCCTTTCCTTTCTATTTCCACTTGAGTTTGAGGAATACTTTTGCAGACTAGGGGGTGTATTCAATTGAGATTTTAAAAGACTATTTTGGGATAGATAAGTCTTGTGGTATTCAATTAAGACTTTTAAATAATCTAAACAAGTCTTGTGGTATTCCATTAAAACTTTTAGGATTTTTTAAAGAGAGTGTCAAAATCTTGTGGTATTCAATCAAGACTTTTAAACAAGTAACAAAAAGTCTTATGTTATTCAAAAACTTGTTCATTTAAAAGGATTTTTTCAAATGTGAAATTATGTGAGACTTTTTAGTGAGATGTATAAATATCAAACCCTATCTCAAATCCCACCCTAACCCATGAGACTTTTTTTTTCATGTGAGATTGTTTTTTGTGATCATAAACTTTGCCTTCTCTCAAAGCCAACTTCAACACCCAAAGCTTCACCGCCACAAGCCATCTCTGCAACTCTACCTGCAAACCCACTTCACCTTCTCTTCTATACCTCAGTCAAATTTATGGCGACACCACGAGACCCAACAGGTCCAAAGTCCCAAACTCAAATGGGTTCTTCTCTGTTAAAGCTTACATGGATAATCCAAACTCCTCTCTAGCTTCGCCAGCAAGGTCATTGGCTCTCTGCCCTCATTTGTAAGAAAATCCAAATGAAAGACCTCTAATTCCTTCAACAAAATAGAGAGACTTGATAGTAGAAGTTCTTGCCCGCACTTGTAAGAAAATTCATGATTGAGAAATTCACTCCCTGCTGACACGTGGATGGTACTTGTCGCTCTCACCTTAGCCAACCTCATCTCGGGCAAAAGAGCCAGTTCACTGGTTGCAACTGTAGAGAAATTATAAACAACAAACACACTGGAATAGAGAAAAAGGTTAAAGGAAGAGAGAGAGAGAGAGAGAGAGAGAGAGAGAGAGAGAGTCATGGACCTCGTGGTTCAGCATTAGGTAAATCCCTCCAAAAAAGTATGAGATTATCTCTCTTCATTTTCTCAGCTTTGAATTCTCGTCTGGGTCGTTGCCATTTTCCCCAAAGCCTTCCATTTTCTTGCCCAACTTCCTGACTCTTACAAAATGGAGTGATTCACTTGCACTTCAGGTTCAGTTTTCTTCTCCATTCACTTTTTCTCTGCATTTCTGAATCTTGGTTTTGGTTATTATAGTCTGTTTTGGGGATTGGTGTTGAAATTCTTGTGGTTTGTGAAGTGCACTGGGGTTTGTTGTTCTTGTCGTAGTTGATTGGTTATAGGGAGTGGCTATGGAGGGAGGGTGGAGATGGAGGCTATGCAATTTTCTGGTTTTGTGTCTGTTCTGGTTTTTATCATCAATTCTCCCTTACTCAAGGATTTACCCATTTTGTTCGAATTTTGAACCATCGTGTATGAATTTTGCAAATCAACTGAACTAGAGAACCTTCCTCTTAAGCCCTCTACTTTCATTTGATTCCCAGCAAAGATAAGAAATGGCATATAGCTTCCAACTTATTAATTGAGGATTAACTCAAACAATACCATACTTCGAAAAAGAAAGGTGGTAGAGGATAGAAGAGAAAATACTACCACAAAAAAAAACATATAGCAGAAACTCCACTTGCATAGAACCACATGATATCTCATAACAGTAACAGTCCATAGAGTAACACAAATTTTTAAAAACCAAGCAAGTTCCTTTTACACTATTTGACTGGAGTTACCAGCTGTGCAGCAAGCCAACGTTAAGATGGTAAAACCAGCAGCCTCCCCTGTTCTGGGTTCACTATATTTGTTGGGCTTGGTATTTAAAAAAGTTTCAAATTTGGTTTGGGCTATAGCCCTATTTAGTCAGACCCAAATATAAATCCTATGATATAAATCTATGTGGTCCTTTCAAATTTTATAAAATCTTATCATATAGGGAAATAGCTCAAAATACCACCAATTTTATAATTTTTTTGTGAAAATACCACCCATCCCCAAAAATTTTAAAACTACCACCTATAAATACATATTTATTGTCCACTAATTGTACCCATATCACATTTTCAGAAATTTGGTTCTCTCTCAGCTTGCTCAGCCCCCTTTTCTCTATCTCTCTGTCTCTCTCTTTGCTCTAGCGCAGATCTGTGTCTCTCTTTGCTCTCTCTCTCTCTCTCTCTCTCTCTCTCTCTCTCTCTCTCTCTCTCTCTCTCTCTCTGACGCAGTGGTCTTCTTCCCTCAGCAATGTCTGTTCATCGAAGCTTAACTCCACTGTTCACATCCAAAAGGTACGGTTCATCATCATTTTCTTTGGGTTTAGGGGTTTCTTTGAAGTTGGTTTAGGGTGTATGGTTTCTATGAAATTGGTTTAGGGTTTAGGGGTTTCTCTGAAATTGGTTTAGGGGTTTCTCTGAAATTGGTATAGGGTTTATGAGTTTCTATGAAATTAGTTTAGGGGTTTCTCTGAATTTGGTTTAGGGTTTATGGGTTTCTCTGAAATTGTTTGATTGTGATGATTCCTTGTTTGAAACAGTGAAGGAGTGTGTTCTTTGTTCTTCGTTTGAAATTGTTGTTGTTATTGCTGTTTTATTGCTATTTTATAATGGATTTATTCCCTTTCCATTGTGGTTTTAATGGTTTTGGCGATTTATGCAATTGGATCCTGTGTTTGTTTGTTGTTTTGTTTCATCCAAAGAAGGGAAATTGTAGGTGTTCATTTATAGTCTCTACATTAGGCACCCTTCGAAAATCACATATTACCAGCTCAAGCTTGCGATTGAGACTTTAAGGGGGGAGGCATATATATGAGGTAAATATGATAATGTCAGTGAATTGAGTTCAGTTTTCACTTATCACTTGGGAATTCACTGTGCTTCTTAATTATTTCAGGAAATCCTTTATATGAAGATGCATACATCGAAACTGTGCTGGATATGCTTTATATGGTCATCCATCAATTTTAATAGAGCTATTTGGTTTAGGTATTCTGTGTAGTAAGGTGAAATAATTTAGGGTTTTCGGCCATGTTGTACATGGTGAAATGTAATATTGTAAAGTCAGTGACGGTGGCTAATTGCCTTACATGGCACATAAACTGTTTACATTTTTGGGTTTTGTTTTCGAGTTGCAATCGTGGTTAGCATACTTATTCTTTAGATTGTGAAGTTCAACTATTTCGTACTGCTCGATATATAAATATACTTACTCTTTATGAAGGTATAACAGTTTACTTGTTTGAAACAACGTGTTCGTTTCCATTGACTTATACTCTTTTTTGTATCCATTTTTGACATTTGGTCCATGTAGTTTTCTTCACTTTTCTGTGCTCAATCCAATCATATGTATAACACAAAATTTGCTTAATGGGTAGAAAACTTAAAGGTCAAAAAATGGACATATGGCAAAACTGAAAAACAAAGGAAGTGCATAATTCGTTTATGTCTAAAAAGTAATAAAATGGCGATACCTTGGTTATATAGTAGCGATATAGTGGCTATAAAAGGGTGCTATAAATTTTTGTTTGTGTTTATTTTGGGTTTCTTGTTTTGTTTCATTTCATTTACTTATCTTGACTCATTACTAGTTAATAATGGGATGATTACGAGATTAATTTGTGTCAATTATTAATACAAGAATTACATAAGATTAAGCCGAACAACATCCATTTCAGACTGTATTTTAGACATGCAAAATAAATCGCCACCGACCCCTAACAATACTATCTCGCGAAGAGAAAACCAAGGCTACACTTTTAGATTGCTTCATAAAAAATTTGACATCATCATCGTCCTCAATCTTTATGTGCTTCCACTCATTCGAGGCCACCAAAACTGAGAACTTTAAGCAAACCTTATCTTCCCTGCTGTTTGTATTACTAATTTGATGCACACGATCCAACAGTTTAGCCAATGTGATGGTTCGTGGAACTATTAAGCCTTTTGAGTCACCCCCTTCGTATTTGCACATCTTCTTTGAGGTTACCCATTTTTCATTGTAGCAAACCAGAATAACAATTGTCTCCATTTCTGACCATGAAAAAAATTATTTCATTAACACAATACAACCACAATAATCAGGCAATACAATGGCAATATAACAACAATATAACATCAATATAATATCAATATAACGGCAATATAACAGCAATATCACAACAAAATAACAGGAATACAACAACAATACAACACTAACACAGCAGTGAACAAGGATTCATCACAATCACACTATAGAAATCCACTACATCAAATGGAAAATCCAAAGTTTCAAGATTCATATATCCAGAGCAATCTAAATGCAATTGGTAAAAACCCAAATGGATGAGCATGAAGATTCAAAAAACCTAACCCAAAACAATTACAGCCAAAACCAATTTATCAGAAACCCAAGCAATCAAAATAAAACCAATTTCGCATAATCCAACATATATTAAGAAAATAACCATAAACATCACCTATTTGAGGTCGGCGATCCAATAGAGCTTCAAGGTTGCAAGCAACTATTCAGAAGACATACCTAAAATATGGGGTCGAGGCAGTGGCGGATGCAGGAATTGCCACTCATGGGGTCATAGTGTAAACTACCCAATATTTTTTTAAGATGAAAAAATATTGAAAATGAAACGATAGTACTTTCACTCATAATTAATGTCAAAAACAATATTACAAGTTACAAAAGTTACTTGAATTGAATTGTAAACTTTCACAAAAATAGTGGCGGCGGCGGGGACGACTGGTAGTGAACGACAGCTAGCACCCTTGGCGGCGGTGGCAAGGGAGGAGGTGGTGGAGGTCTTGGGGAGATTGGGGTTAGGGTTGTTGTTGAGGAGAAATATGAAAATTGGGATTTTGGAGGTGAATTTTGGGGTCTGTGATGTTTAGAGGGTTCAACTCCCTTTTTTTTTGTTCTTTGTTTTTAAAGTCCTAGCCCAAAACGACGTCGTTTTGGTTAGGTCATTTAAAAAATTTGCCTTGGCCAAAATGACGTCGTTTTGCCAAGCAGTTTAAAAAAATAATAAAATAGAACCCCAGCTGGCCCAAGAAGCTTCTTCTTCTCCATGGGGTTGCTTCCATGGCTACCAAGGGAAAAAACCATATCCTACCACTAAAATTCAGATCTGCCATGGGGTCGTCTGACCCCATTACCCTATGGTGGATTCGCCATTGGGTCGAGGAAGGGGTTCGTGATTCAGAACAAAGAGCAAGACAGAGCTGTGAGAGAGAGAAAGAGTGAGAGAGCTGCGCTAGAGAGAGAGAGCAAAGAGAGAGACAGAGATCTGCACTAGAGCAAAGAGAGAGAGAGAGAGAAAGAGAGAGAGAGAAAGGCTTAGTAAGCTGAGAGAGAACCAACTTTCTGAAAATGTGATATGAGTGCAATCAATCGATAATAAAGATGTATTTATAGTTGGTAGTTTTAAAATTTTTGGGGAGGGGTGATATTTTCACAAAAAATTATAAAATTATTGGCATTTTGAGCTATTTCCCTATGATATAATCTTTAAAATCCAAAAGTTAAAAATCTTGATTATACAAAATTATCAATAAAATCATATAAGTCATTAAATCCGTTAAATTTTTTTAATTCTTAAATAATCTTTTAAAATCTCAATTGAATACACCCGCTTAACAGTGTTTGGTTGTCACAAATTTGAAATTACATTGCAATAATTTCAATCCATCCATCCTCACATTGATTGAAATTAGTATGAATGAGATCATGAGGAGCGGAGGAGAGCTCCCATTTCATCCCATTTCGGCGGAGGTGGTGTCCTTGCTGAGGCTGAGGCTGAGACAGTGCTCCAACCTTAAACACGTAGAGCAAGCTCATGGATTTATGGTAGCCGGAGGCCTTCATCAGGACAACCGAACCCTTCCCCGATTCATCCAGGCCTGCTCTTCTCTTGGCTTCTCAGATTACGCCTATTCCGTCTTCACCCGCACCCATGGCCAGCCAAGCATTTATCTCTATAACACCATCATCAAGGCCAAGGCTCTCTCTCCCTCTCCCTCCCACGCCATCTCTCTTTACAACAGAATCCAACTCGCCGCCTTGCGCCCTGACACCTACTCCTTCCCTTTTGTGCTCAAGGCCGTCGTTCGCTTGGCTCCGCCTCAAGTTCAACGACTGGTGGGCGCACAGATTCACTGTCATATCATAGGAATTGGCTTTGACATGGATGCAAGCGTCCTCACTGCCCTCATTCATATGTATTCCTCTTGTGGATGTGTTTCCGACGCCCGCACACTCTTTGACGGAGCTACTGCGTTTGCCTTTGCCTTTAGGGATGTCGCCCTCTGGAACGCAATGATTGCAGGATATGCCAAGTCAGGTGATGTCGACAATGCCCGCCATTTGTTCGAACTTATGCCCCCTAGGATTAGGAATGTCATTTCTTGGACTGCCCTGATTGCCGGATATGCTCAGGTGAACCGCCCCCACGAGGCCATCACAGTCTTCCGGAGAATGCAGCTTGAGAATGTTCAGCCTGATGAGATATCCATGTTAGCCGCACTCTCTGCATGTGCCCATTTAGGGGCTCTCCACTTGGGGGAGTGGATCCATAACTATATTGAGAAACATGAATTTCGTAAGCTGGTTTCTCTCAATAACGCACTTATCGACATGTATGCCAAGTCAGGCAACATAACAAAAGCCCTTCAAGTTTTTGAAAATACTAAATGTAAAACTGTCGTAACTTGGACGACCATGATTGCTGGACTGGCTTTGCATGGTCTCGGAAGAGAAGCCCTTGAAATGTTTGCTCAAATGCAAAGGGTTAAAATCAAGCCTAACGATATCACTTTCATTGCCATCCTTTCTGCTTGTAGCCATGGTCGATTGGTTGAGATAGGCTTTTGGTATTTTAGCATCATGGTTTCCAAGTATAGGATTAAACCCAAAATTGTGCACTATGGCTGCATGATAGATCTACTCGCGCGTGCCGGTTATCTTCAAGAGGCACACGAATTGGTTAGACAGATGCCATTTGAAGCAAACGCAGCTATATGGGGTTCTCTTCTTGCCGCTTCTAATATTCATGGGGATGCGGAGCTTGGACAACATGCTTTGCAACATCTAATAATGCTAGAGCCCCATAATAGTGGAAATTATGCACTTTTGTCTAATGTATATGGTTCTCTGGGTAGGTGGAATGAATCGGGCATGCTAAGGAAAGTTATGAGGGACACAGGTGTGAAGAAGACTCCAGGAAGGAGTTCCATAGAAGTGAATAACAGAGTTCATGAATTCATTGCAGGAGACAAATCCCACTTTGAATGCACTAGGATATATGAAGTCCTGTATAAGATTTTCAGGCAGTTGAAGCTGGCTGGACATCTGCAACAAGATTTTGGGGAGCTGCTTGAATTTGCTGAATAGCCATTAGCCAGGATTTGATACTCCAATTCTTCCAACGTCCAGTTTAACCAGATCTGAAATCTCCTTGGCATCACCATATCTCTACCAGGGTTTCATCAACAAGCAGGTATTTTCTTTCCAAAGTAACGTCTTCTGTCCTTTTGAGCTGCTGAGAGATTATAAAAACATGACTATTCTTGCTCTTCACCCTCATGATATCCTACAAATTGTTCTTCAGGCACAACATACATGATTTGGTGTGTCAAAGAAAGAAAGATACTTAACAAAATGCCAACACCAACTTAGCAAGCTCCTGTCATCATCTAAACCTATTAAAAGAATGATATACAAGGAAGCCAAATATAGAGCTTATATGTTCTATGAATCTCCGTGGTTAATGAGACACTTCATTAGCTTCTCAGAAGTAGAAATTGCATAAGGAGAGTCACAAGAGTGGTTTATATAGTGTCTTTGTCAGTTATCTCAATTTCGTGTATAAATCAGATTTGCTTGGTGAACTTGAAACTGAAAGAGCTTCATAAAAGCAATTAAGATATTGAACTTGTAAACATTGTGATATGATTTTTCGATGCACATTTTTACATGAATGTCACTTTATTTCATTGAATTTTGTTACCTAGCAAATGGACAGAATCATGAGAAGATTAATTTACTAAGACTTTAAATTTATAGTCACCTACTGAAGCTGCTTCAAAGTATTAAACCGAGGAAGAATTCCTGCTCTAGTCCCAAGTTCTGAAATCCTAACCCTAGAAGAGCACTGGCCCATAGAATCTGAATTTTCTGTTGAAGAAGATGGCGTATTCCTGACAAAAATAGAGGAAGAGAAACTTGTGAAACCATGGAACAGAACATAATCATTAGGAGATTAGGTGTTTTTGCAAAGTTAAAGGCTTCTGGATGAAAGTATTGCTCAAAAAGATTGAACATGTATTTACATAATTATCTTTCTTACCTGAGTTCATATCATTTTCTTGTGACTTTATCAGTTGCTGTGGCTTGATTGCTTCCTTTGGAGTTTCATATTCCATAAATAAAGCTCTTTGAGATCTCATTTTGTGTAGGCCATGTCTAATTCCTTCTGCAGAGCTCTGAAATAACGTGTTCAGATCTTCCTTTTCACATTCTTCCCCACGTATTGTGGTAGGCACTTGTTGACAGCCTGAATTTAGTTCTATTCTTGAAATTGAGATTCCAGAATCTTCTCTCGAGTCCAAAATGCTATAAGCTAAATTAGAGGTAGAAATTTGGCACCAATTGCTATTGTTTGACAAGAAACTGTCTGAGGATTCTGTTTCATGAAATGGTACCTGCTTTGGTGATAAAGTGTTGACCCCATTATCATCTTCATTCGAATGCAAACTGCTGTACCAAATATCAGGTGGATAAATGGTGTTGCATATGCGTGTCTCCATTGGCACGCCATCTAATTGGTCTTTTGTATGTATTATTATATCTTCAACAAATTCATCTGATGGAGAATCAGAGTTACATCTTGAATCAATATTGTCAAAATCCTTCAAATTTGTGGGAGGTTTGGTAATAACCACTTCTTGCATGGACCTTTGAGATCCCTCCACATCACCATGCTTCTTCAATTTGTTGTGGTTGACAATCTGTTCAATTGCATTCTTGCGGTTTTGAACTTCCTCATCCTGCAAATGGTCTCTTTCTTTTTGTCCATTACATATATGTTTCTTCTCTGGGGTAGGAATAGCTGGAATCCGTTTGTTCCTGTGAAAATGACTCCTGGTAGCAGGTGCATTCTTATTTAGGAGTAGCCACTTATCAACATAATATTCTGCAGAACAAGCATTACTTTTATGTCTATTTTCACATTCCTCGCTATGATCTCTGTGATGATTGGAGGATTTTGGTGATGCTTCCTGTTCTGGGAATACAACCTCTTTAATGTCACATTCTGATAGATCCTGACTGTATTCTGTTTCTACATCTGCACTATGTTTCATCTTCAAAGCCACTAAACAGCTATTTCTGGAAATACTACATTCTGAGTTGTTTTCTGAAGTACCCTTTACAGGGAAATTTACAGATTTAGCATGATGGTTCATTGGTCTTCTCCTTCTTGCAGGGAATCTCACTTTCTCTTCAAAAGTTAGGTGTTCGGGTCCAGATTTTCTTCTGCTGCAAATAGTAGGTCTCATAAACCTTGGTACCTGCGAAGAGGGAGCTGCTGCAATATTTCTAGTCTTGCTCCTTTTTGTTTTAAGATTAGCTTGGGGCAAGTCGTTAAATAAATTGTCAGCATCCAGTTTCTCACTGGAAGATTGGGTTGTCCCTGTTAATTTCTCCAATTCCTCATTTAACTTCTTGATACTCATTCTGACATCCTGGCGCTCAACTTCAATCATTTTCATCTTTTGTTGCAGATTGATCATTGCAACTTCCTTCTGCCTTTCTTCCTGATTTCAATTTCTTCCAGTCATTATTAAGGCACCGGAGTTCACAATTTATAATAGAAACAAAATCAGCTTTTTGCATAAGCTGAGGTCCCTATAAGGCACTTGGATTCATGCAGCAAGCTAACCAGGTAATACAGCAAACTGATTTTATGATTACTCATTATCAAATGAATCTACTTTCTTGCACCAATATTCTTAGTTATGATTTTAATTTTTACACAACTTTTCCGCCCTTCTATGATATGTGTATGATTCCTGCATAAACGGCTTCAAGACTTGCAATAGTTTTGTTAAAGACAATAAAGTGAGTAATGATTAAGCTTTCTTCTTTTTCACTATAACATACTCATTAGACTAACATCGTGCACTTTGTCATGTGTCTAGACTTGTTCTTATTAGTATTAATGTGCCTTCTTTTCCTTTTCTAGTTCAAATGTTTTTCTCTAGCGTATGTAATGTAGTCAACATCAATCAAGTACCATGCTCCAATTTCACTGAAAGAGGCTGGTTAAAATTATTGAACTGTTTGGGTAGCTTCAGGATTGTAAGGCATGATGGTGCATTTTGATGTAGGGGAGAGAAGTTAGAGTCCTTACTAAAAGAGTTCGGTTGTGCGATGTGTGAGTGACCTCTGACTTATTTAGGCATTATCTTTGGGAGCAACCCTTCTGCATTATCTTTTTTCTAAATCTGGTGACAGAAAAAGTGTGGAAAAGGTTAGATGGGTGAAGGAGAGGGAAGAGTAGCATTATTATTTTTTGTCTATCTTCATATTCTCAGGGGGGTTAGCTAGGATTTTAGAGAAATTAATGAGACTTCTTATGGGAAAGCTGTGGTGAGGAGGAAATTATCATTTAATCAATTGGGATCTTGTGCAGGAACTGAGGGGAAAAGGTGGGTTAGCTATTGGAAATTTGTTAAAAGGAAATCAGGCATTACTAGGCAAATGGTTGTGGAGATTCTCACTTGAGAAAACTCTGTATGGTGTTCAATTGTTAGGAAAGGCTGAGCCATATAAGTTTAGAAGGCTGGTGTGACCATTAAGGTGCAAAGTTTACCTGGTTTAGTGGTCCATGGAAGCTAAATACTTGTGATATGATCTGGAGAAGAAGGCCTTACGCATGTTTGTCTCCACTCCACATTGGTGTGTTTTGTATTAAAAGGAGGAGGGACTGCTGCACACTGGTTGTTTGATGTGTTTGAAGGGATGTGTGTTGGGGTTGTTATTTCTTGTTGGTTGAGAGGTACTGCAATTTAGAGGCTAACAAAAAGGGGCCATTTTCTCTGATGGTCTGCTATTTTTGCTCTTTGGGCATTGTTTGGGTAGACAGAAACAATCGGTATGTTGACAAGAAGGAAGAGGAAGTGGATCTACTTTGGGATAGGATTAGATTCTTGGCTTCTTTCAGGGCGTCTTTGTCAAAGTTATTTAGAGACTCTCTTTTTTTTTTTGGTCAACTTTGGAGACTATCTTTAAGTGTAATTCATGGTGGTAATTTTAATCTGTACTGTCACTAGGCCAAAATAAAAAGGCAAAAGGAATTTGTACTTTGTCTGATTTAATATAAAAAACAGATCGTCACATTTACTTACAGTTGAATCTGTATTCCCTAGATGAACGCTTCTCACCCTTGTTGCAAAATTCAAAGAACACACTGTCTCACAGAGATCTTCTTCTTTAGGACTGATGTGGACAAGCATTAGAGTTTTTGAGTCCTTTCCTAAAAATATAAAATCAAGGGAAGAAAAGATATTTAGACCACGGTGATAAAAATAAAAAATAAAGTACATGTGAAACAGCCATTAAAAAAAAGGTGGGTATTTTTAAAAAATAAGTTTTGCCATCTCCAGAGTAGGCATATAACATAACTAGTTGATGCATGCATATAGTTTACTCCAAGAAACTTTTTTAGTGTCAGACCTTGATAGGTAAAAACAAAAGAACCTCGTTTATCATAGAAATTTGGAGTAGGGCATGTTCTTGTCACTTGGTAGTCATTACAATTAAGAATGATACTGTAGATCCAGTGAGGTAAAGTATTACCAAGGGAATCTTTAAGAACCTGCGTCAGCTTGCTATTCCTGTCATTAGTGAAAAAAGAAAAACTTATTATGTAATTAGCCATCTATATAATAAAAGTGAATCATAACTGGTGAGGTCTTATTGCTTATAACTCATTACACACTAACAAGCGTGTAGAGTCGAAAACTTGTTAGTATCTTACTCATACCAAGTACCAACCAACACTAGTATAATATATTAACTGAAAAGCATGCTGGTTTCGTTGATTATTTAATTTGATCTAAAATAGGCTATGGGAGAGTTAATTTCTCATTCAAGTTTTAACGATATGGCTTTAATAACAAAATAACAAAAAGGGAGATGTATGCTGCTTATCCCGAGTAGTAGGGATCAATGCATAATGATTCATTGTGTTTCTTACCTGTAAGGTACATGGCCCTTTCTAGTCTGAAGGGCATTGATGACATCTCCAAGAGAAGAAAGTGACAAGTTAATGGCTTTTCCTTCTTCTAGTCTTCTTCCCCATGCCTTTGTCTTCAGCAGACGCTCACTTCCCCCCAGGTCAATAAACCAAACTTTATTTGTTTCTCGTCGCCTCTCAGGCGCTCCACTACATGTGACTGATATGCGAATCAAGCTACCACAACAGAAATAGAAAGTCTCTGAACATAATAGTATTGTTTCCAAAACCAGTAACCAAAGCTGAAGACATATCTGAGACAGCCAGTTTCCTATTAGGGCAAGTAGTTACCAGTGTGATCTGCTGGAAGTAACGTTACAATTTGTTGATGCAGTTGACCTGAACTGGCACCCTAGTCTATATAGTTTCAAAGCTTGGTTGAAGTCACTCACTTGAATAGCCACAAGGTTTTCAATTTCAATCCCACCCTTTGGGATCTGTTTGGATCGAGAGGCTGTTCAAGTAAAAGTAGGATTACTTCATAAGGCAATGCTTAACACAACTAACAAATAGAACTTATGAAAGTAAAGGGATGCAATAAGCCAACAATTTTCATGTATTAAGGAGACCATGAGAGGATTAATTGAGCGAATTCGCTTCCATCATTTCCTCCTCTTCGTGGGAATTAGCAATAACTTACTGTTAGTGCTGCTTTGGGAATTTTTCCCAATATTACTTTGAATTTCTTCAACTGATAAGACATGAAAAAGACATACTCTACTTCAAGCATCCATCACCACTTTAGTTCAAAACAAATGATTCCCGCCTTACAAGTAATAACTAGTGATAGAAGGCATTTGCAAAGACATGATATGTTCATTCAGATGAGTGAACGTCTTGCTTGATTATGAAAACAATGGTTAAGTAGCTGGCATTTTTTAAGGGTTAATTGCGGGTTTGTATACCCTGCTATTAACAATCCTAGAAAGCTACTACATTAGAAAATGATTCAAGTATCTGGTTACTCCATTAAAATCTGTTAAGCATCCGCATTTATTTTCAATACTTAAATAATCTGGTTACAAACACAACTGATAGAGATGCAAGGTGACAATGAAATGCAACTACACGCAAAAATAGACAAGGAATGAAGCTCTTTATTTGTCTGATGCTCTGTACAGGGAAAAAAAACATTTTAAAAAAAGAAAAAGAAAAAGAAAAACACTCCTAGTAGTGGTCAGCACAAAGACTTGGAACTAATTATCATATGCAGTCATATTTTCAGGCATACTATAAGTCAGGTATATAATTCCTCAACCCTCCAATATAATGAAGAAAAGAAGTGAAATTAAGTTCATTGAACTTCATCAAATTTGTAACTGGCTAAAAAGCCCATAAAGAATTTTTCAGGAAAGATAAATTATCAAAGTTGATGTGGACACAAAATAAAACCTGTAGTAAGTTGGCCTTCATTTTTCAATTAATCATCTTCACCGCCTTTTTTTTTTTTTTCTTTTTTTAGTTAGCAACCACAAGACACCAGAAGCTTAAGCGCTTAAGGGAATGGGCCAACAATGTATATGTTAAGCTAGCTTCCTTCACATGTAGGCTTGCAGAGGTAGATAAATGCAGATAGAGAGAAGTGTATAGGTGCAGCCCGATCATGTACCTTGCAAATCAGTGGAGAAGTGGGGGAATGGAGATTGGAGGTTTCGAACTCAAGGCCTCCTACAACCAGAGCTATGATTTCTATTAGACAACCACTGGTGGAAAGAAAGCCAAGGTTTTCTGGGATGCAGTGTGTTAACCCTCTCTCTGCTATTGGGTTACATGGAATAACTTTGAAGGTTTTAGTGGACTAAACGGAGGAGGAGCCTAGGAAAAAGATCAGATTCTGGTCATCTTATGGACTTCTGTTTCTACGTAATCTAAAGAGACTCGTCTCTCTGCTATTCTTATGGATTGAAAGGCTGCAGGCCATTATAGCTAGGAGTGTAGGGGGTCCTGGTATCCAAATTGTTATATTTTTTGTTTGATAGTCCTATCCATTCTCATTTTCATTTCGTGTACATTTAAGTGGACTCCTTTTTGTTAGTATTAATAGAATTTTGTATTTTCTCAATAAAACAGAAATATTAGACAACCACTGAGACCTCAAAAGGCTTAAGCTATTCTGGACTGGGCCAAGAATGTATATCAAGTTAATATCTGTTATTGCTCAAATTGAGTATATTTATGGTGAGTTGCGTAGCTCATGAGCCTTAAAACATTCAGCATGTAATTTTACCATGGTGGCAGTGGATCCATTGCCTTTGTTGGTTGAGGAATGAGCAGGTCTTTGAGATTTCCCATGTAAATCTCAAGCATACTGAAACTGAATAGAAACACATGGTTACTATCCACTGCTTGCTTAAACAGTGCTTCAATTGCACGGGGCACCACTCCGGGAAAATCTGGAGTTCCTTCCTACACAATTTAGATAAGAACACTTTAATACTGAAATTATGTCAGGCAGATCAAGGCATACAACTGAGACTTTTGGGCTACTGAACTTTCCAGTAAGTTTTTTTTTCACTTGCATGACATGGATTTCTTTATTGGCTATGTCAAGATTTTACTTGCATGTATAGAATGCCTATAAAATGTCATAAGACAGTCCTTATTCCTCACCATGGTGAAGGTTTTCCCTGTGCCCGTCTGTCCATATGCAAATATGCATGCATTGTAGCCATCAAGTGCAGATTTGATGACTGGCTCAACTTCTGAAAAGACTTCATCTGAAATTTTTCAATAATCAAATTTTCAATCACAACAATTATGGCTCTCTGTAAGTTAGCACATGAAGAGTTGCAACTGGCCCTTTTTTTTTTCTTTCTGGCCTGGAGTTGCAACAAGCCTCAAAGGCCAAACGTACAACCCAGAAAGTTTTGATGTACTCAAGCACCTTGTGATGAGCCTGGGTGGAAAACCATGTCGAAACTGTAACTTTTACTCTTATTATCAGTAAGTCTTAGATGAACATTACTCGAATCTAATGCAACGACAGGCCTAAAACGGCCAAAGTTCTCCCCTATTGTGATGGGTCTTATACGACAAAGCACACGAATGTTACCTGCAATGACAATATATGGTTAGCACAATTCTGCAATTTAAATTGTTTTGGGTCAAATACAGCATATATGCGCAGCTAAGAATCTGGAAGTATTTTTTTGGGGAAGCGCAGATTTTTATTCGATAAACTCTTCACAAGTTTTGGTCTTATTTGGAGTTTAGTAAAAACACTTTCTTTGACAGGATAGTAAGAACACTTCATAGTTTTGTAATAGGATGGTAAGGACGCTTGGTAACACATCAGACTTGAAATCTCCCTTAAAATACGATACTTAAGTTAACAATGACTAACCTTTCAGGTCCAGAAATTCATTTAGAACCTGCCTTCTCTGTTTGTTCAATTCATTAATGTGGGCAGTCAAGATAGCGAGTTCATCTGTAGACAGACACAGAGAGAATTGAGAAGGGTATAGGTGTTTGATGAATAGAATGATCATATTCAGATGGACATTGTAAGAAAATAAAATATATGCAGTGCAGCAGATAGATATGCCATTGCCAAGGGATTTACATTTACCTCTAATATTTGAGGCAGCATTGCTTAAATCATCATCATCATCACGGTTCTCTGAACAACTGTTTATCTCAAAATTTGTAATGGTTAAGTGAGTCTCAGTGGACTGTCCTTGAGAAGGTTGGTTTCTTATTATATCACAAACAGATTTAACCCAGCTGGAAGTCAGATGTGACTTCAATCCTAGTAAGGAATGAATCTTTTCAGGAAGGCTGTGGACAGGGTTTCTTGATGCCATGTTTTTCCCTGAATGTCTTTGTCCTGCAACCCAACTCTGTAGGGTAAATAAACAAATAAATAAGTTCAACTTTAGATGATAAAGATTATCTTTTGCATGAGACTGGAGAGGGGCACAGGCACAGGCACAGGCCGCACAGCATGAGTGTTTCTTTAATGCATGATAGCACAAGTAGTGGATATGTGGATTAACAAGCAAAACTTTCAATTTCTTTTCGCAAACAAAAAATGGAAACTATATTTTCATTACTAGGGTATTCTTTGTTTTTTTTTCTTTTCTGACCAGTACCTCTCTATGAACTGCAAAATGATGTTTCGGTTGTCCACTATACTGATGAAGAGTATATGATAATAAAGCTGCAGAAATCTATAGGTATACTGAGAATCCTATTTCTTCTTTGTTATGTGAGTTTTCTGCAGAAATCTAGAGGGAAAAAAGAAAGATGAAGGAGGATATCCGAGCCTGAAAGAGAGAACAGAGAAATTATGAACAAGTTAAACAAACCACGGAGAGAAGAGTAGCATGAATCTGGAAGCTTATAGCACTTGAAAACTCCTGTTAGTTAAAACTTAAAAGTGAATGTCTGCTGAAGCCATTCTTGACCAAGACAATGTAACTTAAACTGGCCAAAAGAAAAAGAGACCAAGACAAGGTCAAATATTCCTCCATTGCAGCCCCCAACTTATATTTTATCCAGTCAAAACCTTTCAATTAATACATGCCAATGCCCATTTCAAACAGTATATTAATAGAATCATACATAACTAGGCAAGCAAAGAAATAAAGAACGACAGGGGAGGGAGGGGAGAAGAAATCTCACAAGCTGTTGAATGCTGAAGAAAGAAATTTAGTCTCTGCTGCGAATAAGACTGAAAGCTCATCAAAAAATAATGCATTGCATTTCTTTCATATGTTATGCTGGTACAGGTAAACCATTGTTGGAATTTTGCTTCTTGACAAAATCAAATAGTTTCCCCTCCTCCCCTTACATAAAAGAGAGAGAGAGAGAGAGAGAGAGAGAGAGAGAGAGGCTGGTAGTTGGTGAGGGTCCCATTTCAAATTTTCAGGATGATGCGTTTTCACTCATCTCTTGCTTGAAGCTGAGGATGGTTGGGGTGAAAAATGTTGGGGGGGCTAGCTCAGCTCAGCTCAGCTGTCATTAATAACTTGCCTCTCTCTTGCCATTGATTTTGATCTCACTCTCACCACCAGGCCAACATATCATGTACCAACCAACCATGACCTTCCCAATCCCACATTCATCACTCACTATCGTCTAATAATCTTTCATTTGGTCCCATCCCATCTTATTCCCTAGTGGTTGATCAGGTGTTTCATTTTTGCAAACTACGCCAACATAGACCAATCAATCAAACAAAGCCAATACACCAAAGAAACTTCCTTTGCAAAACAAACAAACGAGAAAAAAAAAATATTAATGATTTACTTACTTTAATAATTAAGCCCGGTAAAACTGCTTAATGATTTTGATTTTGATTTTTATAGTACAAGTGATAGTCTAAACTAAAGGAGACTCACACACACAACTATGATGTCGTGGGAATTCGAACCTATCAACTGCTATGTCTTAATTGTTGTAGAGCATCAGACAGACAAACGATCATGTGCAATAAGCAGTTCCTTCAACTATACAACACGCGCGTATTGTTATTTTGTCGAAGCAACTGACGAATCGAATGGTATTTTTCATGTTTTTTTGTCTTTCAACCTTGAGGCCAATATTCGGTGGTTGGTTGGTTCTAAAGAATCCAAAATGTGTCATGGATGAATGATCTGTTTATACAGGATCAACCAGTTGCTGTGGGCCAGGTCTTGTTTGAAGATTTGTGTATGGTGTTTTTGGGGGGGCGGGTGTCTAGGCCCATAATGATTTCTGCGTAAAGTTTGTCTTGTTGGGCTTCAGCCCTCCTTTAAACCAAAAGAAGAAAATTATAAGGAAATAGCTCAAAATGCCACTCTTTTTATAATTTTTTCTGAAAATACCACCCCTCTCCTAAAATTTTAAACTATTATAAATAAATTTTTATTGTCCACTGATTGCACACATATTATTTTTTCAGAAATTTTGTTCTCTCTCACCTTTCTTAGCTCCGTCTCTCTCTATCGCTCAGCTCTCAATCTCTCTTCGCTTTGTCTCTCTATCGCTCAACTCTCAGTCTATCTTCGCTTAGCTCTCACCTCTCTTCAGTCTTTCTCAGTCTCTCTTGCGCAGCTCTCTCTCTCTCTCTCTCTCTCTCTCTCTCTCTCTCTCTCTGACACATTGGTCTTCCTCCCTCAGCGGTGTAGTTCATCGAAGCTTAACTTCACCGTTCACATCCAAAAGGTACGGTTTATCGTCATTTCTTTAGATTTAGGGGTTTCTTTGAAGTTGGTTTAGGGTGTATGATTTCTATGAAATTGGTTTAGGGTTTAGGAGTTTCTCTGAAATTAGTTTAGAGGTTTCTCTGAAATTGTCTGATTGTGATGATTCATTGTTTGAAACAATGAAGGAGTATGTTCTTTGTTCTTTGTTTGAAACTGCTATTGTTTTGTTGTTGTTGTTGGTATCGTATTCCTATTTTATTGATGTTGGATTGCCATGTTAGTGGTATTATATTAGCATCGCAGTGCTATTTTATTGCTAGTTTATTATGGTTTTATTCCTGTTCCATTGTGGTTTTAATGATTTTGGCGATTTATGCAATTGGATTCTGTGTTTGTTTGTTGTTTTGTTTCATCCAAAGAAGGGAAATTGTAGGTGTTCATTTATAGTCTCTACATTAGGCACTCTTCGAAGATCACATATTACTGACTCAAGCTTGCGATTAAGGCTTGAAGGGGGGAGGCATATATATGAGGTAAATATGATAATGTCAGTGAATTGAGTTCAGTTTTCACTTATCACTTGGGATTCACTGTGCTTCTTAATTATGTCAGAAAATCCTTTATATGAAGATGCAGACATTGAAGCTGTGCTGGAGGTGCTTTATATGGCCATCCATCCATTTCGATAGAGCTATTTGGTTTAGGTATTTTGTGTAGCAAGGTGAAATAATTTACAGGGTCTTCAGCCATGTTATACATGATGAAATGTAATATTGTACAGTCGGTGGCGATGGCTAATTATGGCACATAAACTATTTCCATTTTTGGATTTTGTTTTCGAGTTACAATCGTCGTTAGCATACTTATTCTTTAGATTGTGAAGTTCAACTATTTCGTACTGCTCGATATATAAACATACTTATTCTTTATGGAGGTATAACATTTTACTTGTTTGAAACGATGAGTTCGTTTCCACTGACTTATACTCTTTTTTGTATCCATTTTTTACATTTGGTCAATGTAGTTTTCTTCATTTTTCTGTGCTCAATCCAATCATATATGGAACACAAAATTTGCGTAATGGGTAGAAAACTTAAAGGTCAAAAAATGGACATATGGCAAAACTGAAAAACAGAGGAAGTGCATAATTCGTTTCTGCCAAAAACGCAATAAAATGGCAATACAGTAGTTATATAGTGGTGATAAAAATGTGCTAGAAATTGTTGTTTGTGTTTATTTTGGGTTTCTTATTTTGTTTCATTTCATTTACTTATCTTGACCCATTACTAGTTAATAATGGGATGATTACGAGATTAATTTGTGTCAATTATAAATACAAGAATTACATATAGATTAAGCCGAACAACATCCATTTTAGACATGCAAAATAAATCGCCACTGAACCCTAACAATACTATCCCACGAAGGGAAAACCAAGGCTACACTTTCAGATCGCTTCATAAAAAATTTGACATCATCATTGTCCTCAATCTTTATGTGCTTCTACTCATTCGAGGCCACCAAAAACTGAGAACTTTAAGCAAACATTGTCTTCCTACTGTTTGTATTACCAATCTAATTCACATGATCCAACCGTTCAGCAAATGTGATGGTCCGTGGAACTATTAAGCATTTTGAGTCACCCCTTTGTATTTGCCACATCTTCTTGAGGTACCCCATTTTCCATTGTAGCAAAACCAGAAATAACAATGTCTCCCTCTCCCTTCCCCCCCTTTTTCCTAAAACCATAAACCAAAAAATTTTAAAAAATTTAAATTTTCAATTAAACAAAAACAATTAACCAACCCACAAATTTTAAACCCAGGGGCAATACAATGGGCAAAATCCTTAACGGCCAAATACAATTGGCAAAAAAATCTAACAGCAAAAAAAAAATAAATAAACAGCCAAAAATTTTACCACAACCAAAAATAACAAAATGAAACACAACATCAAATTACAACCCACTAACCCCCCCAAAAAGAGGCAAATTTTGGAACAGAAAAATTTTGTCCAATCAACCTCCCAACAACCTTATAAAAAGCAAAAATCCCCAACTACCCATCCAAATTTTGGAAAAACCCAAAGGTTGTTTTTTCCAAAGAATTTCACAATATTCCCCATAGCAATCTAAATTGGGGGGGAAAAAAAATTGTGGGGTTAAAAAAACCCAGAAAATGGGGAATTTGGAAGTTTTAAAAAATGAAGAATTCAAAAAAAACAACCTACCCACACAGGCAAATTACCAAAACAAAGCCCAAAAAACCCCCAAATTTTAAAAACTAGAAAACCCAAGCAAAATATTCAAAAATAAAAAACACCAATTTTGACACAAAAACAAATGAGGGTTTCCCCAAACCAAGATTATTAAAGAAAAACAAATTAACCCAAACTCAACCCAACTTCACCTTAAATTTTCCCCACTGGTAAGGCAAAACTCCCAGTAGATGTTTTTTATGTTTTTTTTTTTTTTTTAAAGGGTTGGCCAAAGCACTTGGAAATTTTTCCCAAAAAGACCCAAATAACCTAAACAACTAAATTTGGGGGTCCCCGAGGGAAAAATTGGGTTTTTCCCCGTGGATTTCCCCCATAAAACTAATAGCCGAGAAAAAAACCAGAGCCTTTTGCGTGAGAGCGAAGAGGGAGGAGAGAAAGCAGAGAGAGAGGGAGGAAGAAAAAGAGGAGAGTTTTTTCGATCTAGAAAATAGAGAAAATGGGCAAAAAGAAGGAAGAAAAAAAAAACAACAAAACGAAATTTTAAAAGCTAATAGTAAAGGAAAGAAGAAACGAAGACGCATAGAAGGCCCTTCCCCGCCTAAGAAGAAGAAGACGAAAGAGAGAGGGAAAGAAAAAAAAAAAGAAAAAAGTGTGCCCTTAAGCAAAGTCCTAGAGAAGAAAAAACAAAAAAATTTTTTTCTGAAAAAAATTGGGGGGGGTGGAATAATAAAATGTTAGCCGGTTGTGGGGCCATTTTAGTTGGAGACCCAAAATATTAAAAAAGATGGAAGGTTTGATTTTTTTTAACAAGATAGGGGTTGAAGTGTGGGGTGAATAAACGGCCGGAACGGAGAGAGAGCGGGAACAGAGCAGATCTACTCGAAGCCGAAGCTGAAGAGGACACGAAGACGATGTGGCAGTTAGAGCCAAGAGACGAATACACCAACAAACACACGGCCAGGTCAGGAACGCAAACGCTGGCGGCCACCCACACAAAGAACACCCCCCAAAAAAAAAAAAAAAAAAAAAAAAAAAAAAAAAAAAAAAAAAAAAAAAAAAAAAAAAAAAAAAAAAAAAAAAAAAAAAAAAAAAAAAAAAAAAAAAAAAAAAAAAAAAAAAAAAAAAAAAAAAAAAAAAAAAAAAAAAAAAAAAAAAAAAAAAAAAAAAAAAAAAAAAAAAAAAAAAAAAAAAAAAAAAAAAAAAAAAAAAAAAAAAAAAAAAAAAAAAAAAAAAAAAAAAAAAAAAAAAAAAAAAAAAAAAAAAAAAAAAAAAAAAAAAAAAAAAAAAAAAAAAAAAAAAAAAAAAAAAAAAAAAAAAAAAAAAAAAAAAAAAAAAAAAAAAAAAAAAAAAAAAAAAAAAAAAAAAAAAAAAAAAAAAAAAAAAAAAAAAAAAAAAAAGGGTACTGATTTAATGCATTCCTTGCAGACCTTAAGATATCAGAATTGTTAACGCAAGACCTATCTTACCTTTAGTACTGGTTCTTGTGGAGTCTCAGCTTGAATACTTTGATCTTGCTGCTATCTCCTCCTCCAAATCTAACCGCAATATCATTCTCCAAACGTTCGGCCGTGGGGCTTTTCTGAAATGATGATCAGAATATGATAATGACTGAATTATAATATAATTAGAAGAATACACATATTATGATATTGTGATTAATATTTTGCGCAAATATATAATCATAATTAGTGGGAGAGAGAACAACAGAACTGCGGGATAATAATATATTAGTGGAGGAGGTATAGCTGCAGTAGAAGTAGTATGATGATGATGCAGCAGCAGCAAGCAGGGCCAGCGGTGCAGCTGGCACCTTGTGAATGTTGGTTGAGGGTAGAGGTTGAGCACATCGTCGTTGCAAAAAATTTCTCAAACCTAGTCTTCATTTGGCCCCAGAGAGTTCTTGATCAGAAACAAGGACAGCTGGTTCTCTCATTGATCAGACAGAATACTATCAGATCGATAGGCTAAGCTGAACTCCTTAATAACTATATAATATAGCAATTAAATCATTAGCCTAGCCTAGCCTAGCTTCAAATAATATATAATTTTAGCTAGACCAGTGCAGCAGGGGATCCGATTCTGATTTCTGAGAAGGAGGTGCTTGGGTCAGATAGGCAATCAATATGTTATATACAAGTTAACGTGAAAAATTGGGGGAGCGGTGGGTGGGATTTATTTGCTAATTTTGGAACCACCAGGCCTCTAGATACTAGATAGAGATAGCCTTAATGCATCACATGACAAAAAGCGGAGGCCTTACACAAGTTTTGCCCTTCATCATGAGATGGTCTCTGCAAAATCATAATTCTTTACTTTACACAAGCAATCAATACACATAGAATCTGTCTGTCTATTTTACGTAGTCTCATAAATAATATATAAATATATTATATATAGAATATATATATAGGACGTAGTAAGTTAACGAGAATAAAATATGTGAGTATCAGTATGGTAGCCATGGGTTACGGAATTTTTTTAATAAAAAAAAAAAGGTGGTACATGTGTATAAATTGCTATGTGGTCCGCATGAACCAAGTAGCAGCAGATTTACATCAAATCACAATGCATGCGGAGTTGAAACAGATAAAAGGCTCCACCCTTTTATGCGCAATGCTGGAAATTTGGAAACCCTTTCGTTGGCACAGTATCATTTTATCGGCGCGCAATTGGTCAAAGTAAAAATATTGCAAAACAAATTTCAAAATTTTAAAAATAATTATAAAAAAAGGAAGAAGAAGGAAAAAAAGGGACAAATTAAGGGCCTGGTGGTTCAAAGCAGCGGGGATTTCACAATAGAAAGAAAAATCAAAGCAGGCAGGATTGGGCCCAAACTTATGAACAACGAAGCCGGTCGTGGGCCGGTTTGCACATCCGAAGTGTTCTTCCCACTCTCCCAGTATCCAAGGAGACGAGGCCAAACTTAAATTGATTTTGCAGATTTGATTTTCTATAATTACGATAAAACCATCAAAAATTCTCAAGCCTCAGCCTCAGCCCTCGCGTGATCAGATCTATGTTGGTTAATGTATTTCTCGTTTGATGGGAGTTTTGAATGTTTTTGAAGGGTACTTATAAATGAGATTGTTTGTTATATTAATTCTTAAATCGTCTCGGCTCAGTTGGGTATGTGAGGCATCAAAGGTAGATTCGAGCGATGCTAAACAAATATGAAATGATTGGAATCAGGATTGCTCAATATGAGCATATGTTGGCAGGAAAAAAGATGAAGAAGATAGGCAGGCTAATAGTTTGGGGATGGATGGTTGAGCAAAGATCGAGACGGGGGTTCAAAGGGAATGAAAAGTACAAGGGAAGTGGGAAGCGGGTAAAAGAAGTAAAAGAAGGAGGTAAGACGGAAGAGAAGAAGTGAAAAGAAAGTCAAGGTGCAGAGGAGGAGGGGATAGGGGGGGGGAAAAAAAGGATGAAAGAAGGGAAAAAAAAAGGGGCGGGAGGGAGGGAAAGGATAGAAGGAGAGGGGAGGAGAGGGAGGGGGAAAAAAAAGAAAAAGAGAAGGAAGAAAGAAGGGAGAAGGGAGAGAAAGGGGGAAGGGCAATTTGAAAAAGAGGGGTCGGGCGAAGAAGAGGGGGGGAGATAGTGAGAGAAATGGGGGAGGGGGGAGGGGGAGAGGGACGGTAAAGAAGAGGTGGGGGGACAACGAAGAGGTCAAATAAATGAGGAGAGATAAGGAAAAATGACATTTTCCGGGTAAGGGGATGTGAACTACTTATGAAGGTGTAGATTAATAAGAATAAAATCCGTTTTTCGCCAATATGGGGATTTAGCTAAGGTTGCGCAATAGGTGTAAGTCAATGATATAGTGTTCTGTTGTCCATATGAGAATTTGAATTATATTCGTTTATAAGAAGTTCAAGACAGGGATACTTTATCACATGAGTTAGTGTAGCAAGTATAATGAAAGATTGTGTAAAAGTAAGGGATGAAATAAGTATCTGGCGTTGGATTGTTCATAAATGTTAGTTGTATTTAATTCATTATTTGTAATTTTTTAAGAATTGGTCGGCTGCTCCCTGTGTGTAACCAGTTTGAGGTTCAGGGGCGCTGATCTTCCTACTTGCCTAGCTCTTTTCGGCCTGGTGCTCGGGGCCCTGTAAGGTTCGGCGAGCCACCGGTTTTTCTGGGTTTACGTGTTTCTTCTTTTTTTTTTTTTTCTTTTGCTCCCCACAAAATACCAACCAAAACTACTACGGAACCCTTCTATTCCAAACTCCCTTTTCCCCCAATCCCCCCTCTACCACCGATACAAGAGTTGAGAGTATCCCTGACACTCAAAGAATGATACACACACAAGTTAGGTTGTGAGGGGGGTTGTTATTATTTGGGAGGGTCTTGTTGTGGATGAGGCCGTTTTTGGGGTTGGTTTTGGCAGCTGACTATGTAGACCAGTGAACCATCGCGAAGGTAAGTTTAGTCACTGGAGAGAGCCTAGCAAGTGCATGTGGGTGTGGGTTGGGGGGTGGGAGTATGGGGAATTTTTGGGTGTGGTTCTAACGGAACGAGGGGCGTTTGGGCTAGTGTAGACCGAGTGTGGTGGTGATGTGGCCAGGAGGGGAAGTGGGAGACGGTGGGTTGGGGGGGGGAAAACACACAGCGGGAGACATGGGGTCGTCAGGTAGGGCGCAAGGGGCGGTGGGGTTTAGACATCGAAGTACGGTGTGGGCAACGAGAGAGAGTCGTGGAGAGAAGAGAACAAAAAAACAACCAAAGAAAGGAACAACGAGAGCGAAATAGAGCCGAAGTGCAAACAAGAAAAAAAGAAAACAAAAAAACATCGGGAAGGAAGACGGAGGGGAGGGAAGAGAGGAGAGGTAAAAAACGACCGATGGAACTATAGGTTAGAATTTGGGGTAGTAAAGGAGGAAGAAAGACGAAGGACGAGGTGGATCGCAGAGAGTGGGGGGGGGGTGACAGGTAGTAAAGGTGAAGGGAAAAAGATTGAAGCTGGTACTTTGCAGGTAGAGTGAGGGAAAGATGGAAAACGGAGAGGAGGAAGGAAGGACGAGAGTGCTCGTGCAGCGGAGAAAGGACAAAAAAATATAAGAAAGGATTTAAACCGCATGCCTTGGAAGATTTGGGCAAGCTTGTCAATGCAGTTGCGTAGTAGACAAATTCGGTAACAGAATTTTGATGTATTATTTCGTCGATGATAAAGCTTTCACCTAATACATGTCCCAATTACCAAATTAAAATCTACTTCATCTTTGAAAATCTTTGCAGTGAACGGAAGGAAATAACAATGCTAAGCAAAATGTTCAAGTCTCTGGTTGGCTTACATTGTCTAGCATGACTTTAACATGGGACTTAATTGTGAGCTGCTTTTCATAGAATCAGAACAAGTGCTTGCTTTGCATAAAGTAAAAGACAAGGAAAATACTAGGAAATTGGTATTTTCACTCCTAGACTTTTTAAATGTTATAAGCCCCAACTCTCGAAGAACCGATTAGATCTTCAGAGCAATAATTGATACAGCTTTCACTTTGGGTGAGGTTTTTGATTTACAAAGCAATACAGAACTGAAAACCTTTTGCTGTTTGTGTCTATATCTAGTGCTACTAAATACGTACCTTTGTTTCGTAGTACACTCTTCAGATATCTGCAAAACAAACATGCGATCGCCATTGTGGACTGGCGCACACCCCGTAAGTACCCTAGAGCTTATGCCTAATTGCATTTGACTTTTGGTTGACAATACACTCCTTCTGATTCCACTTTCTGCTGTTAATATCTACCCTTCCCTGGGTTTTGAACAGGGTTCTTCCGGCCTCCACTTTCTCCAGGCTTCCAATGTTGCTGCCCCAGAGGCGGTGCTCTGAACATTCACCCGAAATTCTGAGTTTCCGTGCTTTCCTGCGCAACATGTGAGAGAGTGGGACCAACAGCAGGCTTTGGCTTACCGTACCCGTGGCCTTTTTGGCGTAGTCTCTTTGCGTTTTCCCCTTTTCACACCCTCTTGTCCCCCTTCACTCTTCCCTTCACATTCCTTTTACCCTTTCTTTTTCACTATCCAAAAACACTTTTATCTCTTTCCCCACCACAGAGATGACTCTATCATTTTTTTTCCTCCCCCCTTTTTTCCTTCTTCCTTTTTTTCATTACTGCGACTCTATCCCGTCTACATTCGCTTTGTTTGTTTTTCTTCCCACAAAGCCACCCAGGATCTCTTGCATTCTTCCCCCTCCCCCCTCTTCCTTCGGAGAGACTTCCTGCACCCGCAAATGACCAATCCCGGGCCCCCCACCTTTTTTCTTATCTTAACTTCCCCACTATATCAGATCTTTTGCTAGACCTAAAAATCAAGTAAACGTACTCCTCAACAGAGAGAACATGATCATACTGTCACTTTACACTGGGAAAACGAGGCAGGTTTCCAAGCCGTTTGAAGATCAATTTCGGAAACCCTAACATAAGCGCACGACTCCAAAAACCGCCAAACAACACCGGTCTCCGAAATTCCCGGATCACCATAAGAGTCTCCGTACACCACCCCACACTTTAGCATCCTCCTCTGGTGCAGCAACATATGGGAAGGCCATTGAGAAATTGGATCCTGTGAAAGAACCCTGTTCAAAACCATGGAATGGTAGCTATTAAAGCAGAAAGTTTCATCATAATTTTCAACCAAAAGTCAGATGCAATTAGGCAAACTCTATACTTACTTTGAGCAAGTCCACAAGGGCTGGATCTGCATGTTTGTTTGCAGGAATATCTGAAGATTGTAACTAAGAAAACAAAGGTATTAATTTAGTAGCACTAGATATAGACACAACAGCAAAAGGTTTTCACTGTATTGCTTTGTAAATAAAAAACCTCACCCAAAAAGTGAAAGCTGTATCAATTATGGCTCTGAAAGATCTAATCGGTTCTCAGAGAGTGTGATGCTTATAATCATTTAAAAATGTCTAGGAAGTTAAAATACCAATTTCATATTATTTCCTTGGTCTTGTACTTTATGCAAAGCAAGCAACTGTTTTGATTCTAGAAAAGCAGTCACAATTAAGTCCCATAAAGTAGCTAGACATGTAAGCAAACAAGAACAAATTGCTTAGCATTGTATTTCATTCTCGTCACTGCAAAGGATTTTCAAATATGAAGTAGATTTTAATGGATTGGGAACATGTATAGGGAAGTTACACGACGAAAAGAATACATCAAAATTCTTACCTCTCTACCAACGAAGACAAGAGCCAGCTCCAAAGGCTGATGAAATTTGTTTCCAGAGCACTATGAAGTTGAAAACAAATAAATACATTCAACTTAGAAGACAATATCAATAGTGCTAAAAACTTAAGAATGCAAAACAAATATAAAACCAAAGAGACAACTTCTCTCTTTTAGAAGTTCATATGAAACAAGTATAAAAAGTAAAAAACTAACTGCAGTAAACTATCACTGTAAAAAAGGAAAACAAAATACCAGTACGTTCGACCAGCCACCTTCTGAAAGAACAGACTTAGCTAAATCCTTTGGAGAGATAGTCTGATAATTTATGGCTGCCTTCACTCTGTTGTATGAAAGCATGCAATCAGTACACAAAGAAGAACAAAGGGCACTATAATATGGGCCAAAGAATTTTTTTAATGAAATTAAAAATCACATAAACGATGCATGCTACCAATGCCCCTATCATTTTGACAAAATCACAAAGTGGACAGTATATCACCATCAAAAGAGATACCACATGCAGAAAAGACAACATGGTTTGACTGTATCCAAGAGTTTGATGGTAAATCAGTTTTTAATTTACTTTTTTTTCTCAAGAGCTAAATTAAAAATATATAAAATGCTTCCCTCGAAGAGTATCCTGAACACCTCACTCTCCTCTCCCAGGTCATCTTTTGCCTCCTCAAAGAACCTAGACAATTTAAGCCCCTTAGGGTCACCAGTTCTCTGAGGAAGAAACTGAAAGTGATAAGTTGCTGAAATTTTCAAGGAGTGAAATTCAATTCTCCCAGCTTGAAACTGAACCTTAAAGACTAGGTTAGCACACATTATGATTGCAGTCCGACTACAAGATGTTTCTTAAAGAACTAACAAAATAGATGAAATGTTGAGAATACAACTGAAAACATGATGTAACTTTACAAAATAACCAAAACTCCAGAGTAATTATTTCAGATCCTGCTTGATACTTGTTAACACAATTATTTCAGTTGATACTTGCGTTAACAACTGAAAACATGTTCAATTTGATAAAGTATCACTGTCTTTGATACTTCTTAATAGAAAAAAGAATATAAAATGTCAAAAGTTCTCAATATTGGAGGCAAAAAGAATAGGAGCACATATATCATTGAATTAACCATATTGCATCACACCTATTAGCTAAATCCAACAATAAGTTGGATAGAAGAAAAGGGGAGTTTTAGTTAATAGGGAAGCTACAACTGCAGAATGTAGTGCAGCATCCCTCCATTAACCAAGAAATGTCAAGTGTTTTCCTGAGTAGATCCTCATTTTAGTGGCAACTTATGAGTTGATCCACCCACACATCTTGCTTTTACTAGTCAATCTCAACCGGAAGCCACTCCACAATTTAGAGAAAAATAGAGGAACAAAAAAGAATGATTTAGCAAGAACTACTCGTTATTTCAAATTGAACGGAAATTAATTTGATAGAAAGTCGAGCATTAGTGTATGTCAAATTCTCTTTTCTTTTTTTTCACCCTCCAAATATAAATAAAAGCGACGTATATACTTGTAAAAGAAAGGCAGCAACTGGTTGTGTTAAAGTATTTTCAGAAGTTTGGGCAAAAAAACAGAGCAGCCTAAGACTCTGAAACTTGACTTGATTTATAAAGTAGTAAGCTGAAGTAGTACATACTGATGGTAATGAGGTGACCAGAGGAAAGCTGGCACTGTGGAAGTGGAAGGCAAGGGAAACCCCGAGAGAATCTGAGGCGCAACAAGCAAAGCCACCAAACATAGTAGCAAAGGCAGAGCTGCCTTCATCTTTGGTCCTGCACATATGGATCAGATTGAGCAAATCACGGATCAAATCATGTCATATTTGTTTACATCGCATTCGAATCTACCTTTGATGCATACATACACAAACTGAAGCAGAGATCGATTTAAGAATTAAGATAACAAATCTCATTTATAAGTACAATTCAAAAACACAAAACGCAAATCCAAACGAAGAAAATAACATTAACAAAACATAGATCGATCACCTGAGGGCTGAGGCTGAGGCTGAGAATTTTGATGGTTTTATCGGAAATTATAGAAATCAAAATCTGCAAAATCAATTAAGTTATGGCCGTCGTCTCCTTGGATACGGGGAGATTGGGGAAGAAGCACTTCGGATGTCAAACCAGGCCCACGGACACGGCTCGTTGTTCATAAGTTTGGGCCCAATCCGGCCTGCTTTGATTTTTCTTTCTATGGGTGAAATCCCGCCTGCTTTGCAACCACCAGGCCCATTAAATTGTCCTTTTTTCCTTCTTCTTCCTTTTTTTATAATTATTTTTAAATTTTGAATTTTTGTTTGCAATATTATTACTTTGACCAAAAAAGATAAATGATACATTGTGCACAAGATTTCCATCAGCAATTGAGCATAAAAGGGTGGAGCTTTTAATCTGTTCAACTCCAGCATGCATTTGAATTTGATGTATGCATGCATGCTACTTGGGTCATGCGGCCCAATAGCATTATAACACATGTACAACCTTTTTTTTTTAATTAAAAAAATTCGTAAACCATGCTACCATACATGATACTCACTATATTTATTATCGTTAATTACTACGTCTATATATATATTATATATATATATATGTATATATGAATTTATGAGACGTACGTATAGACAGACAGATTGCTATTGGATTGATTGATTGATGTAAAGTAAAGAGATTATGAGTTTGCAGAGACCAGCTCAGGAGGAAGGGCAAAACTTGTGAAGCCTCTCGCTTTTGTCATGTGAATGCTATTAAGGCTATCTCTATCTAGTATCTAGAGGCGCTGGTTGGTTCAAAAATATAGCATAAGTAAAATCCCACCCCACCGCTCCCACAATTTTCACGTTAACTTGTATATAACATATTGATTTCTATCTCGATCCAGCACCTCATCTTCTTCAGAAATCAGAATCGGATCCCCTGCTGCACTGGCTAGCTAAAAATTATATATTATTTGAAGCTAGGCTAGGCTAGGCTAGATGATTTAGTTGCTATATATATATAGTTAGTAAGGAGCAGCTTAGCCGATCGATCTGATATATTCTGTCTGATCAATGAGAGACCAGCTGTCCTTGTTTCTGATCAAGAACTCTCTGGGAGCCAAGATGAAGAAAGGGTTGAGAAATTTTTGCAACGACGATGGCTCAACCTCTACCCTCAACCAACATCACAAGGTGACCAGCTGCACCGCTGGCCCTGCTGCTGCTGCTCATCATCATCATACTACTTCTACTGCAGCTGATACCTCCTCCACTAATAATATTATTAATCCAGCAGTTCCTGTTGTTCGCTCTCCCACTAATTATGATTATTATTTGCAGCAAAATATTAATCACAATATTGATAATATTGATTCTTCTAATTATATTAATAATTCAGATCATGATCATATTCATGATCATCATCAGAAAAGCCCACAGCCGACGTTGGAGGAGATGATATTGCGGTTAGATTTGGAGGAGGAGATAGCAGCAAGATCAAAGTATTCAAAGCTGAAAGACTACAACAAGAACAAGTACTACAAGGGTAGAATGTCTTGCGTTAACAATTCTGATATCTTAAGGTCTGCAAGGAATGCATTAAATCAGTACCCTCGCTTCTCTCTTGATGGCAAGGATGCCATGTACCGCTCCTCCTTCAGAAACAGCTTAGCTGCCGGTGCAGGTGGTGGAAGAAAATCAGACGTATGTTGCAGCAGGCCTAGGAGAGACTGTCGTGGTCGTCTATCAGGGAAAGTAGCATTATATGAGGATGATGATAATGATACAAGTAGTAGTAGTTATAATAAGCCTAGTAGATTGCCTTTGCCAGCCACTTTAGCAGGGGAGAGCGTGGTGTGGTGCAAACCAGGAGTGGTAGCCAAGTTGATGGGGCTAGAGGCCATGCCATTGCCAGTACCTCTACATCATATTGGTGGTGGTAATGGTAAAGATCAAAACCTGGGTATCATCGACGTCATGAACATGAAGAGACAGAATCTCATGATCAGGAAGAGAGCTCAGGAGAGGCGTGATGAAATGCAGACAAGACTTGTTACTAATAATTAATTATATGGATATATATTTATGAATGCCAATGGTACTATATGCATGCACTGTGATCTCTCACTCACAGATCTATTTATTATTAATAAGAAAGCAGCAGTGCCAGTGGTTTACATTATAATTCGTCACATTGCACAACTAACCCTCCCAACCATGATCTTCAAGACTAATAATCTCCTCTGTTTCGAATTTTGTAAGCTGAATTCACGACTGATAGTCCGTCCATAAGATGTGTTGTCTGTAACGTTCCTAAGAATAACAATGGAAGTGGCAGCATAATCAATTCAAGTTTGATACGAGGATTGAGTAATGACTATAACAATAACTATGAATATTTGTGGTTATAAGTTGTAACCAAACCAATGAATTTTCTTTTGAAAGAAACCATAAATCAAATGATCGTGGTATGAAGACTAATAATAATGATCAGGTGAGAGCAGCAGGTACAGGCTCTCCGTAGAGAACAGACTCAATGCCGATGACAATGAAGACTAATAATAATGATCAGTACTGGACATCATCACAAAGGATTGACTAGTTTATCACAAACACATTTTTCTCACTTGGTGCAGCTAGCGAGAACCTCAATGCCGATGACAGATGTATATATATCCTCTAAGCCTGATGTAGACCTAAATAAATATATAGTATTTTCATATAAACACAACCAGCACAGCATGTGTAAGTGGAAAAGGAGCTGCCTATATGATCCCGCTGAATAAAGCATTGCGTAAAACATGATGGAAATAGTGTCGCAAGAAGAGCATGCTAATGTGGGTACATTTTGCTCTGTTACCATGTTAACTAATTTAGGATAAAACTTCAAAGGTCATAGGACAGCTTTTCATCATCCAAATGCCAACCCAAAAGTAAATCAGATTATACAGAGAAAAAGTGAAAATTTATCAAATAATGGGGTACAGAAATGGTTCATCAATCAGTAAGGTCAAATTGGGCATCTGATTGTTGCTAATAATGTGTATTACATCTCGTACTTCACTAGTGCATAGTGATTGTTGACCGTGCTGGTTTTGGGTTTTCGTTTCAGTACGTACACCTTTCATTAGCCTGTCCATGTAATCTTCCCTCCCTACTTGATCAATCTACCAGCCTAATTGGGGGTGGTGATGCATTATGCAGGTGGTGCTTGTGGTTATGGGAATCTTTATAGCCAGGGGGGATATGGAATAAACACAGCTGCTCTGAGTAGTGTTGAAGAATACACACCAATTTGGAAGTATCAATAGGTTAGCGACGTTATTAGAAAATCGGGGAAAAATAATTTTTGAAAAAAAAAGGACCTCTACATATATAGTGTAAAGCCATGCGCCTATACTATTTTTAAAAACAAATCACCCCCGTATAGCCGAGAGGCTATACTATTTTGGAAAATACACGAGTTTATGGCCGCTCGGCTACACTATTTATAAATTAAGAAGAAAAAGGGACCCGCCTAGGTGTAAAAAAACAAATTACCCAGGTATAGCCGCGCGGCTATACTAGTCTTGCCGCACGGCTAATACCTTTTATTGAAAAAAAGTACCCTCCTAGTTGCATTAGTTTATACTTTTTTGTGGGAATGTTTGTCTTTGATCTAACTTGTTCTCTCGAGTGAAACTTGTTGGAGGAACAACAATTAATATTATTCTAATAATTTGCAGAATTGCAATACCTTTTATTGAAAAAAAGTACCCTCCTAGTTGCATTAGTTTATACTTTTTTTGTGGGAATGTTTGCCTTTGATCTAACTTGTTCTCTCGAGTGAAACTTGTTGGAGGAACAACAATTAATATTATTCTAATAATTTGCAGAATTGCAATGTCCTTGAAACATAATTTCAGCCTTACTTAATGCTTGTAGTTCTGCAGGTGTTTACTCCACTAGGATACAACTATCTAAATCAAAGTCATAGCACTAGGGCTTTGATTTCTAGTGAAATTTGCGTGTTTATCTATGTGGCTTTACAGGAATGATGATATGAATGTTCTCTACGAATTTGATGTAATTGTACAGACCTAGGGTTTGTGTTTAAATAAAGTGGATAATACCTATTCCAACAAGTATCAAATAAGGACAAACTCAATCAAACAAAAACATTATATGATATTTGAATTTTAAAAATAATTCAAATAAATAAATAAATAATTAACTAATCGGGTTTAATTTAAATCACAAAACCGAAGACGTGTACACAAAATTGATGTATTATTGAAAAATACGTACATACATATAGAATACCTGACATGACCCGACCCAACTTCCACTTTGGAATCCAAGCTGAACCCTGTGCGTGTCCAACACTTGGCGGTTGTCGGGCACAAATGACCTAATTGCCCTTCCAATCAAAATACAATTATCTCAAGTTTGACTTCTGCCGAAAATTCAGCAAAATCTCCCCTGTAAATTGAACATTTCCCGAAGTTTTCACTTGTCAATAAACATTCATATAACCCAAAAGTTCAGCATAAATCAATTTATATCCAATAAATCAAGCATCACAACATTCTGGCCTCAGGTCTCAATGAAATGAATAAATCATTCTGCTAACAACATTAATTTCAATTTCTTAAAACATTCCCAGAACAATGCTAGATTTCATAATAACTTAACTGGACTACCTTTAATTACTTGACCTCGTGGCTGCACTCAGAACCCTAGGTTGCCTACGTACCCTTAGTAAGGGATCAAGCCACACGTTGTTCTCATCTTTCATCTCAGCTTTCTGTTCCAAGCTTTATGGCATTACTCACACGACAATATATAATTAAATGAAGGAATGAAGCATTTAGATTCAAGAAATCACTCTTGGAAAACATAACTATCAATTCCTCGTGACACCATTGGTGACACGTCCTGCCCTGTAATCCTCGCTCCACACGATCTGGATATCTCTATGACTCGTTGGGCAAAATATGCTAGAAAAACTTAAGTTATTTAATACTATATAGAATAATAAAAGATAAAGATAAATAAACATAATACAATATGATCAAACAAAATAAAATAAGATAAGTTAAAGATTTATAAGCTCTGAAGACCCTTGTATCCTTGTATTGAAACTCACATAAGGTTCATAAATAAATATATATATATATATATATATATATCAACAACTTAACTAGAGTATATATGTATGTTTCCATCTATCACTTGTAAAACAAATTTGATGCTTAAGAAAATAATGGTAACTGTATAAAATCCTCAATTTAGTTTTAAAGCATCTTAAAATCTAAATTCTCTCCACCTAGGCGCCCTGATCCATCAATTCCATCCTCGCAGGCCTTGGAAACACAAAGTTAACCGAGCCGCATTCCTCGCAGGCCTCGAAGACACCAAGTCCATCCGAGCTGCAATTCTCGCAGGCCTCGGAGATACCACTTCAATCCGAGCCACAATCCTCGAAGGTCTCGGAGATACCACTTCAATTCGAGCCGCCTTTCCTCTCACCACACGGTTTAGGTGTCCCCGAACTCGTGGGGCACTATTAATAAAGGATAAACTGTTTCAAAGCAACTAAGGGGTACCCTCGTGGTGGGTTTGAAAACCAAAACTCGTCATTCATATCAACTTTCAATAGACTGCTCTGAACCCTATATACCACAATCTGATAAAAGCCAAGGGCTATGATTCATCCTTTTCAACTACTGAATATATGTATTAAATACTTAGCTAGTTTGTTAACCATTCCAATATTGTATTTATAATCTTACAACACAATTACCCATATGAATGTATATACAAGTGATAAATAAACAGATAAATAAATGCTCATACTTTTAGGGGTTTCCTCAGCTCCACTTAAGCATTTTTCCCAAACACCGAAACCCTGGCCTTGGGTTCCAAGAAGTACGTGCACCAAATTTACAGTCATTTCTATGATCACAATAGCTTTTCCCAAGGTTTAGAGCAGTCTAAAAGTACCTCGGGACTTAAAAGCGATAAAGTCTCAAAAAAGTCAACACAGGACCTCGTAGGGTCCACAACCTCAAAATTTCGATTCGAGAGTTCCTAGAGGTTCTAACATGCCTAGGACACATGTCCCGAGAGTTTGGTCTTGATCGGACAATTAGATTATCCACGATCGCACAATCAAACAATTATTGTAAACCTAGCCTTAGGGTTGGCATTTCCGGAGTATCCGGGACTCCGTTTTACGATCTGTCGAACCATATACGATCCTGGAATTACCTAGATCAACATACATGAATTCGAGTTCGATCCAATGATCTGAACTTATGAAACCCGCAAATCGCACAATAGGCAAAATCCGTTTGACGCTCAAACGGTATCCAAAATGGAATCCGAGCACACCTACGCGCTCATGAAAAGTAGGAGATCATTTTAGGACAGAAAGTAACTCACCGGGAAATCTCAAAATCAAGGACCAAGCTTCCTACCTAGGTTCAGAACATCCATTGGAGCCACTTTTGTTCTTAGACATACCCCGAAAAATTGCCGGAAGTGGCCGGAACCTCAACCTGAAATTCGGCCAAATTTTGAATCCAAAATCAAACTATCAACACTAGAAATTTATCAAATCCTATCCAACCATCAGCTAGAGCTTGAAAAGCAAATGAGATTCCATACCTTGCTTGCCGGAAATGGTGACTGGAGGAGAGAGATTGAGCCTGGCGAAATTTCATGAAAAATCAGTCGTTCTCAAGCTTTTTCCGACGAAACAGGCAACGGCTGGCGTCGTGGAAGGGTTGGGGTTCGACGGAGGGGTCGGGCTGATCCTTTTGGCACCGGTCCCGTGCGTTGCCATGGCCAGATGTGGTGGTTCGAAGAGAAAGAAGGGATCAAGCTGAGAGTGAGGGGGAGAGGAGAGAGAGAGAGAGAGAGAGAGATAGAGAGAGGTCTGTGCGCGTAGGGAAGGAGAGAGAGAGAGGTTTTAAAATCTGACATGGCAAATTACCATTTTGCCCCTCAACATATTGGATTGTAATTTCTTTGTTATAACTCCGATTCGAGCCTACTACATGTCTACGAACTCGTTTCGTTGAGCTCTACGCAACGATACAAGCGAAATTTTCAAAATTTTTCTCGATCAAAAAGTCAACATTTTCTCTATTAATTTAATATAGGGGTAAAATTGTCTTTTCTCTGAAAATGCTAAATTCTTTATATGGGTAATAAATCTAGCAAAGTAAAAAAATCGAATAGGACAATAGAGACTCGGGTAATGGCCTAATAGTAATGGATAATGTTCTAAACTATTTTTATCAAAAGTGTACATAATACACGAGTCCATTGTAGTAACTGCAACCAACTTGTGCCCACCAAAACTTGGCTCTTTCTAATAATGTCACCGATGGAGGCTGGTGAAATCCTCCATTGCACAACTTTGACCTTTCTCAGCTTATTTTCCAACACGTAGCTCCCTACAATATATATTAGTTAGCTTTCTTCTTTTCTTTACTTTGCCTTTGGTATAAATATTAATAAATAATATGCAATGCAATATATATGCAGTGCAGGGTTGGTTGCAGAAAGAAGGGCAGAGTGAGATTCATAGTGAATGAGCACGATGTAAGGGTCTTTTTGTTGAGAGTTGCAATGGGCTTGTAGACTAAGCTCTCTTTCATCCATGTATGAGTTTGCGGCACCAGGCCCTAAAATACCCCGAAAGAGTTGAAGCCTTAGGGAGTGCTTTGATATTCTTCAATGGCTCCTCAGTACATTGCAAGTTTTGATGAGAAAGATACAACAACTGCTGTAAGGACATTGCTCGACGATAGAGTTGAGCATACGTTGAAAAGGCTTTGCTTAAAACATAGTGGAACATGTGTTTCGACAGCTGCTGCTTGTTTGGATGGGCTTCCAACGGCTCTAAAAAGAGTTGGAAATGGTGCATTTTTGTTGTACAGGCTTGGTATGAAAGCTTGTGTTGGTGAATCAAGATACAACTAGGCTTGGCATGGGAGCTAAGAGCTCATAAGTTTACTGTGAGAGAGAGAGAAAGAGAGATAGAGAGTTGGAAAGGGAAAAGCTTGGAATCGTAGCTAGACTATATCTTCTGGCAACTTTAAAATTGCTTTCACCAGCTTGAAATGATTTCTTGAAATAAAGAAAGTTAATTCTGATGCTTGAATCTTAGGATGGTGACTTGAAGAAATTCTTGGGTGATGTTTAGGGCTTAGCATCGTGTTCTAAGAGAAGAAAAAAATGGCAGAAGGAAAGCATTAAGGGTTGAGATTTTGGGTGATGAGAATGGGGTTACTCGTGCTTTAGGTTTCTCACCAATAAGGTGATGACCATGATTTCAACTTGCCTTGAGAGGATGGGTGTTTCATATCTGAAATAGGGCTTTATGAAAATGTGAGAGAGAGAGAGAGAGAGAGAGAGAGAGAGAGAGAGAGAGAACAAGATGGAAAAGATGGTGCTTAGGCTTGATGTTTCTAGCAATTTGAGGAGAGGCTTGCTCGCTCTGCCTAAGTTGGTTCTTTAGGATCAAGAAGAATGTGATGAAGGGGAAGGTGCTTGGGCTTGATGTTTCTAGCAGTTAGAGGATAAGCTCGCTCCACCGCTCTGGTTGAGTTGAGTCCCCTTTACTCTGTAGCTGATGGCCTTTTTTTTTATATCGGCATTGGAACCCATCTTTACCCCAGAAACCCTAGATAGTTTCTTCTTATTTGGCCAAGTCTTCTCCTTTTTTTCCCATCACTTTCTCCAATATGGCCTTAATCAATGAAATCTTCATAAAATCAGCTGAATCCATGGCTATTGAGACAAAACATTTTGGTGCACCAAAGCCTTCCTGCAGCTGGACCTTGTAGAGGCTTCCCTTCCAGGCAACGCTCCAGCTTGGCTTTCCTTTCTCCTACGTGAGCTCATATGGGTAAAGATGGATCAAGGTGATGGTCAAATAGAGAGGTTGAGGCTTATCTCTTTCACCAGCCTAGATATTTATGTAAACTGGATTTTAAGGGTTTTAGTTTGAATTTAGCAAGGCTAGTCTGATCTTAAGGGAAAGGGTACTAGAATTTCTCTCTGACTTACCCATGTGTTGGGCTCAAGAAAGTGGGTTTGGGTTTTGGCCCTCCCAAGCAACCCAAATCCTCCACCTTTTGAATTATCAATGGGTCTTATGGACCTTCATACCCATCCACACCACAACCCACTCAGCAAGCCCCATGCATATATGTGGCTTGGGCCCACTTAAGCTTGTCAAGTGGTTTGGCGCTAAAAGGAGTCGTTTAGCATGGCATGTTATTGGGGTGCTTATGCTTGGGCTACGTTGTATTATAGTGGCTAAAGGCTCTGTTAGATAATTCTTGACGAAGAAGTGGGTTAGGTGAGCTCAAGCATGTGACATTGTTAAACTTTACAGGTTTGCATGTGAAATTGGTAAACCCGTATCATGACCTTCCCACGTGCTAAATTCTAGTCTCGCTTGGCATGGCGCAAATATCAAAGCTTGTTTAGGCACTTCGTAGCCATATTTGATGGGCCTTTCTATCCCTTTTATAGCACGGTAATGAATTGGGCCTAAAAATATGAACAAACCTTCCTTGACATTTTTTGGGCCTCAACACACGCCTACTTCAATATGGTATTATGGATGGCAACGGGTCGGGTAGGGGTCGGGTATGGCAATACCATCCCCATCCCATATAATAATTTTCAGGGAATCCCGTCCCCGTCCCTATCAGGAGACTCTTTCCCAAAACTCGCCCTAAATCCCCAAATATTGTTATTATTATTATTTTCCAAATTTTGCTTCCATAACTAATTATTTTTATTGATGTTCCTCCGCAAAATTTAAGCTTGAGATCAACTAAAACCATTTTCCACAAAAATAAAATCAAACCCAAGGAAAAAAAAACCCAATATTTCAACTGAAACCATTTTGCACAAAATCAAATCATGTTCATAGCTACACAACCAAGAAATATACAAACAAAGAAAAACCCATTATTAAAATAAATAAATAAATTTAAATAATAATAAAAAGAAGAAGCAAGAAAGTGACAATTTCCCAAGCCTGTGAAGGAGATGGAGCTTTTGAGTTTGGTTCTGAAACAAAGCATGCACAGGAGATTGAGAGACCAAAGATATGGAGATTATATATATATATATATATAGAGAGAGAGAGAGATAGAGAGAGAGAGAGAGAGAGAGAGAGCTATGAAGAAGACGGGGAGAGCGTGAGTGGGGAGTGAGCTTGTTGTGATAGAGCGGGGTTAGGGTAACATCATATTAGATTATAAGTATATTATAATTATATATATTATATACTTATTAATTCAAACATAAATATATAATACTTTCGGGCCGGGTTCAAGGATGGGGACGTCATTACCATCCTCAGCCCGGATCTGTTGGCGAATTTTTATTTATTTATTTATTTCAAGGATCCCCATACCCGTACCCGATGTCTCCGAAAACTGCCCTCGTTAGGGTCGGGGACCCGATGAGGACCCGCCTGAAGTGAATTTCTGCCATCCCTATCTGGTATTTACAATAAGCAATGTGGGTGAAGCTGGGGATGTGGTTGGTTATTGTGTGTCCATTAAATCCGGCATCTAGCAAGCTATGTCTCGTAACTGGGATCAAAATTGGCAAAGCAACTCCTACGTACCTAAACTCTCAATTCCTTTCTTTCAAGGTCACAACTAGCGATGGACGCTCTCTCGTCTCCAACAATATTTGTGGCTCCTGCCATGTTCCCAACTAGTCTTTCGGCTAAACCTGTTGAATAATATAAGTCCCACATTGGAAAATTAACTAAATAAAATACAAGATATAATGAATGGTTCTACTGCTAACATTACCTAGACTTTTTGTGATAAAACTCCACACCCACTAGGTTTTATAGGTGGTTAAGTTGATGACAATATTGGTGTTGCTAGTAGTGGGCCGTAGTCCCGTCTCTCTAAAATTGAATTGATTAACTAGGACTGAATTGGGCCTTTACCTTTACCTTTACATGTTGGTCTTGAATGTTTACACCTACCCCTTATCCAATATGTAACGTTCACATGTTGGGATTGAATGTTTGACTCCAATGTTGACTTTGCTCCACGTGTGGCCCACTATATGGTGGTTCTATGTGAAGGGGCATGTTGAAAAATATAAATCCCACATCGGAAACTTGACTAAATAAAATACAAGATATAATGAATGGTTCCACTACTAATATTACCGAGACCTTTTGTGATAAAACCTCACACCTACTAAGCTTTGTAGATGGTTAAGTTAAGGATAATATTAGTGTTGCTAATAGTAAACTGTTATCCCATCTCTCTAAAATTTAACAAAACCTACACTGCAACCCACAACTATCTATCTCCTAATTAACCCAAGCCCCACGTCCCTCCACACCTAACCCAATTAAAATCCAAATGCCAAATGCCATGATCCATTCTTCTTGTGTTTCCCTAATTTTTTCCCCATCACTTCACATTATTTATTCTATAGGCATTATCAAAGTAGTTCCTCCATTAAAAAAGAAAAAGAAAAAGTAGCTTCTCAATCAACTATATATCATGACTGGTGGGCCTTCCCTTTTTAAAATGGCCCTCCTTTGTTTGTTTTTATCAATCGTCTGATGAGTGACTTATTGCTGTTGGGGCTTCTTACTAGTGGCAAGGTATTTTATATTCAATAGTTGGGTACCATCTTCATATTCATAATCAAATTTGTTGAGAAACGAAAAGCTTGCCCACGAGCTTTGTTACTATGTGATTAAAGTGTTCTTATAAAGTAAAGTTGCTATTCGCATTTTTAAAAGGCCATTCCACACTCCTCCTCACTTTGTATTCTTTTAAGAAGAAGTGCAATATGACAATTCTCCATGTTACATGTATATATTTATATTGTAAGTTTTTTCTTTCTTCCTAGATTTAATGATATTATCTAATAAAAGCGATTCAACATTGACAAATAAGGGTTTGTTTGGGATTGTTTTTAGAAAGGCTAAAATTACTTTCTGATAACTAAAAACTCTTCTAAAAGTATTTGGTTTGAAAAACTTACAATTGTGGAATCAAAAAAGCGCTTTATGCGAAACTCCTCGTTTGGGAGTGCTTCTTCCCAAAGCGCTTATGCCAGTAGCGCTTATGACATAAGCACTTCTACAAAGAAGCAGTTTGTCGTTTGGATGTCACATTTAAAAGTGCTTTTACACTACATAAAAGCGCTTTTGATATTTTGTTGAGTGTTTGGTTGACACAGTAAAAGCACTTTTAAAAGTACTTAAAAAAATTTAAAGAATCCCAAAATATTAAACATAGGAAAAAAAAATTCATATGATGGAAGGTGTTTTGACGTCTGCTAGGTCTTGACATATATTGGCCTTTTCGCGGGTAGAGTTTTGATTTTAATAGGAGAGAAAAAAAAACAGAAAAAAAGAAGAGAAAGAAAGGGTATTTTGGCATTTAAAAAAAATTAAATATGGGTATTTTAGGCATTTTAAAAGTTTCATTAAAGGGAGCCAAGTACTACCCGTGTTTTTGTCCTGCAGCGCTTTTAGGAAGAAGCACCTCTCAAGTGCTTCTTCGAAAACCACTCCAAGTGCTTTTGGATCTCACCCAAAGCGCTTTTGCAATTTTTGCCAAACACCATTTTTAAAAGACAAAAGCGCTTTTACCCATTTAGAAGCGTTTTTCGCTATTCCAAAAGCACTCCCAAACGAGTCCTACATATGTTTCTGCATAAAGCACTTTGATTTTATTAAAAAATTTGAGGTTCTTCTAGCATAAGCACTCAGAGAAAAATCACATTTTGAGAAGAGTTTTCTACAAAAACAATCCTAACACATGGATATATTGACATTAATTATTATTTTAGAACCAGCACAGCTTCATTTCACAACTTCATTGCCCATGAAAGAACCTCACTTCCCCTTCTTAAGTTAGATATAAATATTCACCAAAAACAAAAGTTTGGTATAAATAAATAAAAATGTT